GAACTATTGGGAAACGATTTATAATAAATTGGGGAAAATGTTCAAAATTACTTTCCCCCCCGAAAAACCAGAGTCATTTTTGTTGGGGATAATCTAGACTTAAATGCCCAGGTGTCACAAAAGGTTATTTATGTATCCAACAACTGTGGTCCATGTTTTGTTAGCCCCAAAATGGAAAGTTAGCGAAGTCCCAACTAAAGACTAAATTGACAGAATATGCACAACTTGCAGATTTAACATATAGAATAAGAGAGCAAGAAGAACATACATTTAAAGAAGAATGGAAAACATTTATTGAATATGTGAAACATAACTGTATACAACTGAAAACGCTGGCAGCATTAAGATAAATTCAACAGAGTAAATAATTTTTGATGGATGTAAAAGTGGAAAACTGATTTGAATGGTTATAGTAAAAAAATTCTGGGATGTATGATATGTAAAATGAACCAGGGAAAGAGAAGAAGGGAAGTCATTGGATATTTTAAAGTTTGTAAAATGTTTATTTGAAATTGTAAAATGGAAAATCTAATAAAAATTATTATATATATAAAAAAAGAAAAACTGAAAACTTGCAGCAGGCAAGACAGGAAGGAAACAAAACGGCATGTTGGACAGCAGCATGACTGGGTGGCTGGAGCCCTGAATACAAGTACTGTACGCCTATTAAGAGGTGAGAATACACTCTGGCATTTTGTCGCAGGTTCCCCTTGTAGCCTTCTAATTGCAGCTGCCACGTTAAGCAAGCAACAGAAGGAAACCTGTACCGTAAAACCAATAGTGCAACTCGGGTTTTTAATGCAGCACAAACAAGGTTCTTAAAGAGGTACAATTTGGCAATCAAAGTGACAGTGCGAAATGAGGTCACATTCACCACAAGGCCTGGTCCTGTCAGACACACTCAGACCGGTTCCAATCAGGTCAATTAAATGGGAACCCAATAGCTTCCTGTTTTTACAGGAGTCAACGCAAATTACCAGTTCATTCGTGGAGGAGCTTAAAATTGGGGTGGGTGGGTGAATAAATACTGCATCCATTTAAGTCCATATCCCTTGCCACAAAATATAGTTTCTATTAAAATAGTTGGGGTGGGGGGACACCATGTCTGTGCTATAAAAGTGCAAAAGCACCAAAGAGCATATTGTGTAGACTTTTCCAGTTTAGAAAGGACAGAAACCTCCAGACTGATTTGTGAAAAGAAAGGCTGTATGGTATAGCGGTTAGATTCTTGGTCCAGGACTCATGAGTAGGGAGGGATAGGACTCTCTGTTTGGGTCAGTTATCCTCTCTCTGTCTAACCTAACCTAGGAAAGCAAGAAGAATTTGAGATCGTTCACATTTTAGCGAGAAACTCCCTAATTTGCACTTATTGAACCAGTTCACAAAACACAGTCCTCCTTTGGAACTCACACTTCTCTGAATTTCACAATACACTTCTCCATACAAATATTTTCATATGATTCTCACAAAACATTTTGCAAAGTAAATTGCCTACATCATGCAATTGCAACAATTACTAGGCAATCACTATGACTGTCTGCGATGCTTGTTAAATTACTCCATGCATTGGATACGGCCTCCATTAAAAAAAATCAACCATCGTCAATGTTGGAGGGGTTTGGCAGAGAAATTCATCCCTCCCCCAAGTTTCTCAGACAGCAGCCAAGAAGATGCAAACATTAAGCGATCAGGCAGCAAGTCGTACCTTCAGCAAAAGCAGATGGCTGTGAGAAAGAACCTTTATTATTATTATTAAGAGGTCTGGATCAGGCACAGTTTGCCTCTGCCTCATTTAGTAAATTATACAGAAAGGCAATGCCAAGTCATCTGGAAACTCAAGCTCTGTCATTTTCTGCCTCCACTACTACTGCCGTTTGTTGCCATGGTAGGGATACAGGTCAGCTTCTAAGTATGAGCAATACCAGCCAAAACAAACCATTCATGAACACTGGCCTACAGAACACAGCCCAAAAGTACCTCATGCTCCACCAAATGGATCCTGTCACAAAATGGCAGCTGATCTGATCTCAAAATGAGGAGGCAGCAATGTCCACTGGCTTGGATGCCTTTAAAAGCAGATTGGACAAATTCATGGAGAATAAGGCTATCAATGGCTACTAGTTTATATTATTTATTATTCTTATTATTCTTATTCTTATTTAGTTGCTAATTTTGCCACTGCAACCCAAAGCAACTTCCAACAATAAATAAATAACATACAGTGGTACCTCAGGTTAAGAACAGTTTCAGGTTACAGACTCCGCTAACCCAGAAATAGTAATTCAGGTTAAAAACTTTGCTTCAGGCTGAGAAGAGAAATCATGCTCCAGCAGCAGCGGGAGGCCCCATTAGCTAAAGTGGTACCTCAGGTTAAGAACAGTTTCAGGTTAAGAACAGACCTCCAGAATGAGGTACCACTGTACATGAAAAGCTTCATAAAACAAAGCATGGAAAAATCTTAAACACATTTTTTTTTAAAAAAACACACCAATGCTTCTGAATGCCAGTCACTGGAAACCACGGGGGGGAGGGGTGCTGCTCTCGTGCTTGGAGCCAGTTTGCAGGCTGCCAACAGGCTTTTGGTTGGCTTCTGTGAGAACAGGATGCTGGAGTAGATGGACCTTTGGCCTGAACCAGCAGGCTCTTCTCATTGGTAGCAAGGAAAAAGAAACGGGTATAAAAAAGGAGAATTCACTGGATGCCAAGATCTAGGTACTCTTTGGTGGGAGAACCCCAGCAGATTTAAAACCACAAATTACGCAGCAAGGTAAAGTGTGGAAATATAAACTGTTTGACCTTTAAAATATGCCTTCCGAAGTTCCCCTCTTCCATAGCATAGAAAAAAACCACACATTTGGTAAGTTGAAAATGGTTTACTTACAAACTCTCCAAAGGTCAGATTCATGGGCTTTTTCCATACAGCATTCAGAAAAAGTTGCACAGGCAGTAAAGCTTGGCTTAGTTACAGTGGGGAATGTTCCTGATTTATTGGCAAAAGGAACACAACAATGGCTTGTTAGAGCCACACGGTCTGAGCGTGGAGAAACCAGCTCAGACCTCTTTATATGCTGAGTTTCTCAGGTAGACTCAGGTACAATTGGCTTGATTACCTTCCTCCCAAGGTGAGAGGGAGTGACCTGGCTTTCTCTATGGTATTAACTCTTTCGTGCATTCATTAGATTCAGGGGAATATTTTTTTTCTTGTTTTCCTCCTCCAAAAACTAGGTGCGTCTTGTGGTCTGGTGCGTCTTATAGAGCGAAAAATACGGTAATCATGTTGGTTATATGAAGCTGGTTATCCCACACTTATATTCTCACGATCTTACATGGGGAGTTAGGTCAGTCATAATTCCCCTCTGCACTGACATGTCCTGCCTGTGCAAATACATATCCACTTGTGAGTCTTACTAGCTAAATCAGGACCTTCAGTCCTGGGACTCCACCTCTCTGTCTGGTAGCACATACTATGTCAGGAGTAGGGCAGGAGGACATGACTTGACCACAACAGCCTAGCAGGCCAAAGGAGGAGATCTGGCAGGCCAAATTTTGCACATGGGCCAGAGGTTCCCCACTCCTGCGCTAAAGGAACAGGATACCTGTTCTCCCTCCCAAAAGAAGCAATTTTACCTCCAAGGATATCCATGCTAAACTCAGTGACAACTACTCAAGGAAAGCCAGACACTGATCAAACATCTTCAACAGAGGCTATGGGGAGCTGCTCTATTTCCTTAGATCCCTGGCTATTGCCCACAAAGCGCTTGTCCCAAAATTAATCTTACTGCTATTGCAGCTTGGCTCTACTAAAGAAACATCTCCCAAAGCTGCAGGGGGGAAGAAACAAAACAAACTCAAGATCCGGGTAGGTCTCCTTCCAGTTTGGCTCCAGTGTTAGATCTGGCAGGAGTTTTGTGTGTGTGTGAGTCAGATGCCAAGATATTGCAATCAAGGGTCGCTGCTTAGTTACAAAACAAGCCCGCAGGTGCCGAAACCGGATGCATTCCCTCTTCTCTGCACTAGTTGTGAAGTGACCTCAGCAAATGAGCTTGGCCTGAATTTCTTATTTCAGCTTTTCTGGCGTTGGAGAGAGAGAGAGAGAGATCAGCCTGCAAGACGAGTGGGGCTGATATGATTGAATGCTGCTTTTCTAGTGCTTGTGCTAGTGCTACTGGACAGCTTTTAAGAGCATTAGACAGCTACTTGTCATGAGAGCTGTGTACTGTAGTCATTTCACTATCAGAGGAACCACAAGTCAGGAGAGGGCTGTCTGCTCAAGGCCTGCTGGGGGCCTCTCATAGGCCTCTAATCAGCTCTGAAGAACAGGATGCTGGATTAGATAATCCAGCTAGGAACTCCTTAAAGCGCTGGATTTAGGGTGGTGTGGTCAGTTCCCCAGCACAGGGTGACAAGCCAAGGGGCCACAAAATATCATTATTATTAATGGTAGCCACTGAGACCATCCGTTCAAAAAGCAACTGTCCTAAAAGGAATTATGATGAAAATAAGAAATATGGGAGGGAGCCACCAAATGTTGTCCTCACTCAAGGTGCCATATTACCAAAGTCTGCCCCTGCCCCTTACGTTCTTTAAGCTGGTAAGAGAAAAGTCCTCATTCACATGTAAGGCCCTGTGGACCGCCCTGAGATGTTACGATGAAGAGAGGTATATAAATCTAATAAATAATAAGGCATACTACAGTTACAGACCAAAGAGGGGCTGTACTTTTGACTGTGCCAACCACATCAGAACCACATTTCCCCCCCCCAACAACCAGACATGGAGCTCAGCTGTCAGTATCGGAAGAGCAATGTGTGAGCACCTCTGGGTCTGAATAAGCACCATGTGATCAGGACACCGAGATGAACAAAGGGAATATGTGCATATATTAGCGAAAACATCATATGAAATACATTGCTTGCGAAAAAATGTGTACATGAGGCCAAAACTGCTTACAAAAGTGTGTTTATTAGGGGGAATTTGCACGAAAACGCTGGTGAATTTTCATCAGGATTTGTTGTTGATGCTGTTGCAGATTGCTGCAGAAATGCGGAGAAACAGAGAGAACTGAAATTGACAGGTCCTCCTACCCCTACCTGGAGAGAGTCTTGAGGGCCTGAAATAAATGCCCAGAGGGCCACATTTGGCCTCCAACCATGGGGTTTTCCCACCCCTGGAGCAGATTTGCCATTGGTCTGGTTAAGCAGCCTTCTTATATCCCCGCCACCCAACGTTTTCCTCAATGTTATTAGGTGACCTCTCCCTTTCTCATTGTTTAAGGCCAGGTTCAGGCTGCAAGCCATTGGGATTACATCGAATCATAGCATTGTAGAGTTGGCAGGGACACCCAAGGGCCTTCTAGTCCAACCCCTTGCAATGCAGGAATCACAGCGTCTTTCAAGCAATAAACATATGCCTTGGTGAACTCAAAGGCACCTCAAAGGACAACGGCACCTAACAGCATCCCAAGGTAGACCACAGCATTTTGTTATTCTGCAAGGAGACAGAACAGTAAAAAGCTGGAGAGACAAATCAGCAGAAAGCACGTTAAGTTTCAGTTCATTTATTTAATGTTGATTGTCTTGTTTGGTTAAGGTCTTAAGTCACTGTTAAACCAGATTGATCTTTTTTTTTTTTACGTTTCAGACAAGCAGAAAGACAAGAAGGATCTTTTTAATTATGAGAAAGAAGCAGCAATCACGTAATAAGAGTGTTCCTGTGGAACATCCACACTCTAAACAGGAGAGGTTGGGTTCCATTTTCCCCTGTTTTGGCTTTTAGCTAAACAAATAAAAGTGTTGCTCCTACTACCTAACAGGACGTGCTATTCCTTCATTTCCCAGCCCTGGTTACACATCATGTCACCGCTGGGCTTCAGCCCAGAAAGCCCATTCAGCGTCTGCATTCATCTGCACCTGAGTATGAGTCAGCAGCAAGAGTCGAGAGGGGCAGAAAGCTCTTGACATTAGCAGTGCAACAAACTGCTATGAAACAACACGGCGCTTCTACACAAGGGAAGGCTGATCTAAGCATATGGATGTTGATCAATTTTCCATTTGGCCCGCTGATTCATCTCGAAATAATCATGCCAGTCCTAATTGCCATCCACTCCGTCTAACATCTCGACACAGACATAAAAACAGAACTGTTACCTATTTAACATGGGCTGACTGAGATGGGGACTCTTGCTTTTTTACTCTATTTCCCACCCACCCACCATGGCTCAAAACTGATTCATTCATTGGCCCCAATATGAAAAAGTCGCTCGAGACAATCTGATTGTGCTGTGCTTCTCATGAAGATCCAGGGAACCTCTGGTCCTCCAGGTGTTCCCAAACTACAACTCCCATCAGCCCTGGGAAAGCATGAGCAATGGGCAGGGATGATGGGAACTGTAGTCAGCATCATCTAAATGTTCAAAACCTACCTGTTGACCCAAGAAAAGAAATACGCACACCCAGACAGCATGGCCAATGATAAGGGAAGAGATGGGAACTGTATTCCACAACACCTGGAGGGTACCATATTGCCTAGTTCTGGGGCCATAAACCAAGAAAGCAAACCTTAATAAACAAAAAAACAAAAAAAACAATAGCCACAACCCAAACCCTTCACCTAAAATTAAACCTGAAGTTGGTTTGTAAAGCAAAATGTGCCAGATGCTAAAATCCAAGTGTGGAGAACTTTTGGCCCTTGGAATGTTGCTGAACTACAACTCCCATCATCCCCAACCATTGGTCTTGCTTGCTGTGACTGATGGGAACTGTAGTTCAGCCACACCCAGAGGGCTAAAGGTTCCCCACACCTGCTATAATCAATATCACAATCTAAAAACAACAGCATTGGAAGATGCGGTCTGTTCACTGATGACAGCTGCACATTGCATACCGGTAGCAAATGTACCCCCTGCAAAAAATTACCTGGATGCAGCTGGGCCCCAGTGAATACACCAGATATGGGGCAGCTGTGGTCCTCCAGATGTTCCTCGACTCCAGCTCCCATCATCCCTGAGCATTGACCAGGTACAGAACATACAAACACACACACACACACACACACACACACACACAAACTTGGTCATGATGACTAGCTGGAGCCTTCATTGAGTCAGATACAGAAATATGTTTATTAGAGGTGAGAGAATTATGCCTTAGAATAGCCTCCCACTAATCTAGTGCTCTTCAGATGCTTTGAACTACGGCTCCCAACCCCAATGGGATTTGGGGTCCAAAACATCTGGAGGGCATGAGATCGGGGTGCAGTGGGATGGGGAGACAGGCTTAGAAAAGGGTTGTACATCCATTTCATTCCATGTTGTTTGGACAGAAGTTGAGTTGTTGCTTTTGTTATGGGCAAACGCTTAATCAGCAGCCAGGGATGGGATCTTGCACACAAATGGAAATTCTCTGCTGCAGCTATTGTCATTCCAAGACCTTAAAGCTATGAAAAAGAAATTGGGTGGGGAGGGAGGGAGGGGGAGAGAGAGAGAGAGAGAGAGAGAGAGAGAGAGAGAGAGATAAGGAGTGTGTTGGGTGGAGTTTTACACCCCAGTTTCCAAGGAAGGAAGCAATGGCAGCATATTGAAGAGGCAAAGCTTCTGCTAGCTCAAACTCAGAGGCAATGTTCCACTGTACCCAATATGAATAATATTAATCCTGCACACAGGAAAGTAGCATGTCACTGAGAATACAAGACTTGAATGTAATCACTTTCTAACTTTAAGAACAGGTGCCTAAATTCGCTCACATTCCTCTCCCCTCTAGCTCCCATTTTCCTTTCGTGTCAAACTTGGTGAGATCACTTCCCCTTTGTGCCCTAACAGGAAGAGGGCATAGCTATATATGGTCCTCGCTGCTAATGGTGGACCTATATTTGGGGGCCCCTGAAGCTTGAACTGTTATGGGGGGGGGGCCATCACAACCAGCAACGAGGTCTGAATAACCACTTTTGCATCTGCTTCAGTACTTTTGTGAACTCATTGTTATTCCTCTAGGGTCTTGACCTCTGCTAATAAGGGGGGCAGGGGCAGGATACATTAGCCACAGCAGAACAGCCAACTTACCACAGTGTTCCACATTTACAACATCTGTGCTGCTGATTCGCAAACTTTGGGATTGCTGAAATATACACAGCAAAAAAATCAACCCATTTGAGTCGTGCGACTCAAATTAGGTCTACTAGACCCCCAAAATTTAAGTAATGTGGATAAAGTCATTAGTTTCATAGTAGATTCGCCCCTGCTCCCTGCCTGGGTAGACTCTCTTTCTGCTTTTTTCCACCATATCTGCAACATGACAACATCTGCATCTCATAAGCATGTGCTCTGTCCCTGAGTTGCGAGGCACTCAGGAAACAACTCTGCTCCATCATTTATGTGACAGCCACTCAGATATCTGAAGGTGGCAATCATATTGCCTCTTGCCTCTTCTCCTGCCTGAGCATCCTCAGCTCCTGGGAAGAGGCCATCTCTGAGATACATCTACTGTACCACCTACCACTGCTGTATCTGTACCAGATCTGCACACAGTCTTCATCTTCTGGTTTAGAGTGGATCCCGTCGTCTGGTTGATTGCCATCCCAGTAGTTATAGTCATATGAGGAGCCATCTGTCCATTCAAAATTGCTTTCCTACCAAATACATCACCAGGGAGTTAGTGCTAGGGAAACAGACAGGAAATGGCACATATTCAATCTTTGCTGTTAACCAGCATAGATGGAAGCATTTGGAGCATTCTAGGGATGGAGAAGAAATGCCATTCAGTTTACATTTCAAAGCGAACCTAGCTAACACACACTTTCCAAAGCAATACACAAGCCAACGAGCGGTCATTTTTCAAAACTTCTCTGAATTTTGACAATGCAGATCTCGAGCGAAGTCGTGGGTACAAAAACACACGTACAGTGGCAACGTGTGCATAAACGTGCATGTATTGGAGGAAAACTGCATTATATTAGGAGAAAATGCTTTGCAAAAAAAATCGACAAAAATCACATACAAATGTATGTATTAGGAGAAACCCACATTTCATTGCTGGTGAATTTTCATGAGGATTTTTTAAAAAACAAGAAGATGTGGAAATGTGTAGAACTGAATTTAAGGCTGAAAAATGGAGAAACAGAGAAAAACCAAAATGGGCAGATTCACCTATTCTTGGTTTGGAGATACCATTTCAGCTGTCATTATAGCTGCTCAGCAAACCTGCCCACTGGTTTTGAAAAGCAAGTGCCTTGCCCAAGAAGGCAACTTTGTCAGTGTGTGTGGTATATATTTGTTGACTGAATAAATGTCTGTCATTTCATTTCAAGACCAGTATCTGTATCAATTACAGGTGGGACTTCCATCATGGGGCTTCTGTATTATAAAAAACCCAGAAATGAGATGGCAAACTGATGTGTGGGCATGAGTCATCTTCATGTACTTTTTAATGTACTGAAATCAATTGGTTGGATCCAGGCTAAATTGGCTGAAGATAAATTCAATTAAATCAATGGGGCGTGGTTGTGATTTTAACTTAATCTGCATTAAAACCAATGGGTTTAACCAACCTATTCTCCTAATATACCGTACTGGCCTGAATATAAGCTGCACCCAAATATAAGCCACATCTTTAAAATTGGAGGGGGGGAGAGGAAAAAAGAAAAAATATCCGAATATAAGCTGCTCCATTCCTCACTGCTCCTGGCTGCACACCATATATAAGCTGCACTTTAACTTTTCATGGTCGAAATTTGGATAAAAAGTGAGACTTATATTCAGGCCAATATGGTTCACATTTTTGCAAGAAATTCGCCTTAATTTAATAATGCATTTTATACAGGCAACTCCTCATTTTACATTCCGAGACACTGTGTGTTTAAGTGAAATTGTGCATATTTGGAACACCATTGAAAAAGTCTGCAAACCCACCATTTCTCCTTCCAAACCCTCCTTGCTCAAACTCCAACTCAGTGCAAGGGCTCCTGGGATTACACTCGCGAAGGCTTGTGGAATTGCTAAACACTGCTTTTGAGCCATTTCTGCCATTTCCTTGCTCTTTTTAGGCCCCCTTTGCCCCTTTTCGTACCACTCCGGACTTTGTACCGATGTGTGCATACATAAATGGGGAGTTGCCTGTACATTAATCTCACTAATATATGCATTTCTATGCCCAGCTATCTCCTACCATGCAGTTTTTGGGGCGAGTTAGAGAGCTGCACTGCACACAATTCTGAGAAGGGCAGATTCTGTAGAATAGCTGCCTTTCAGTGCACATACTGCTTTCGATAGAGCCAATGAGGTAGGGTGTAGGGTAAACCTATTGCGGAAGAATTTTGTATTTCGAGAAGGCAGGTTAATTAGCCAGTACAATTCATCCTCCTTGCTTATTGCAACATCCTAAAGGGTTAAACCTTGGGAGCAAGACCTACCGAAGAACAGTTGCTGTGCTCACTAGGCATGACATCCAGTGTAGATCCTAATATAGAGTTAACTCTTCTTACTTTGTGTGATTTACTGCTGGCTCACTCCTGTCAATAACCGACTTCCCTCAGGGCAGAAGCATAGGAATATATAGGCATATAGGAAGCTGCCAGGGCTGTTTAATTATCCAGCTGTTACTTTGAGGAAGAGCATCTGTTCTCCATGCAGAAGATCCCAGCATCTCCAGGTAGGTTTGGGAGAGAACCCCCATCTGAAACTCTGGAGAGCTGCTGCCAAGTCAGCATAGATCAGGGGTAGGCAACCTAAGGCCCGGGGGCTGGATCCGGCCCAATCGCCTTCTAAATCCGGCCCGCGGACGGCCCAGGAATCAGCGTGTTTTTACATGAATCAAATGTGTCCTTTTATTTAAAATGCAACTCTGGATTATTTGTGGGGCATAAGAATTTGTTCATTCCCCCCCCCCCAATATAGTCTGGCCCCCCACAAGGTCTGAGGGATGGTGGACCGGCCCACGGCTGAAAAAGGTTGCTGACCCCTGGCATAGATTATGCTGACCTAGATGGATAAACAGGCTGACTCAATATAAAGCAGGGCTATTTCCCTTAATGCTCCACTTCTGCTAGGCTAGATGCCACCAAAGTCTCACCCAGCAGGTCTCTTCTTATTATGGGTCTGATGAGAGGTGCAGCAACTGATACGGTTAGGTTCTTACCTGTCTAAGATCATTAAGTCCCATCCAAACATCCGTCGGTATTCCAGGCACTCGGCTGTTTACCAGGTCGTAGACGAAGACATTCTCTTCCCAGCTGCCAATAGTCGTATGTAATTAGGAATGCAAAGATCTGTTAATACTTATTTCTTTATTTCATTGCATTTACACCCACCTCTTCTGCAAGGAGCTCAAGGTGGCAGACATGGCTCTCCCTCTCCTCATTTAATCCCCACAGCAACCTGCAAGGTAGGTTAGGCTGAGAGGCAGTGACTAGCCCCCAAGGTCACCCAGTGGGTTTCAAGGCTGAGTGCAGATTCAAACCCTTACTTCCCCAGTTCCTAGTCCAACGCTCTAACCACTATGCTGTGCTAGCTCTTTCTTTTTAGTTCGCTACACTTCTCATTTTTCTAACCTCAAATTTCAGTGGTCTGCCTTTTGCAGCAATGTGCAGTTTCAAATTCCTCACAAAAGTCTTCAGCATTTTAGTGCAAATATCTCCTAATAAACAACTTTTTATGCACTGTTTTGACTCATGCACGCCACTTATGCAAGACTTTTCTCCTGATAAGATGCATCTTTGTAGGTTATTTTCATTAAGATATTCATCTTAAGCACATGTTCACCTGATATGTGCATTTCTGTAAACACGGGTTGGTTGGAGAACAGCATCGCAAAAACCATCAATCATATAGTTAGGAGGGGGACCTCAAGGTTCATGTAGTCCCACCCTCAGTTGATGCAGAAAGTCGACACTACATTCTATGCTTAAAGGTAAAAGTAAAGGGACCCCTGACCATTAGGTCCAGTCGCGAACGGCTCTGGGGTAGCGGCGCTCATCTCACATTACTAGCCAAGGGAGCCAGCGTACAGCTTCCTTATTCAAAGTCAAAAGAAGTTTACTTACATCAGTTTACAGTTGGATCCCTGAAGGCAGTAAAGGGACCCCTGACCATTAGGTCCAGTCGTGACTGACTCTGGGGTTGCGGCATTCATCTCGCTTTATTGGCCGAGGGAGCCGGCGTACAGCTTCTGGGTCATGTGGCCAGCATGACTAAGCCGCTTCTGGCGAACCAGAGCAGTGCACGGAAATGCCGTTTACCTTCCTGCGGAGCGGTACCTGTTTATCTACTTGCACTTTGGCGTGCTTTCGAACTGCTAGGTTGGCAGGAGCAGGGACTGAGCAACGGGAGCTCACCCCATCACAGGGATTCGAACCGCTGACCTACTCATTGGCAAGCCCTAGGCTCAGTGGTTTAGACCACAGCGCCACCCGCGTCCCCATTCTATGCTTAAAAACCTCTAAAAATCCACCAACTTCCAATTCAGCCTGTCCCACTGTCAAACAGCTCATACCATCAGGAAGTACTTCCTAAGGTTAATCTAAATCCTTTCCCTTGTCATTTGAAGCTACTGGAGCAACAGGAAAACAAATTTGTTCTGCCTATACAACAGTCCTCTGGATATCTGAGGATAGTATAGTCTCACCTTTCAATTGTTTCTTTTCCAAACGAACCATCTCCAACTCCTTCAACCTTTCCCTCACAGGACTTGGTTCCTAAACCGCTCGCCATTTTTGTCTCCATCCTCTGAACACATCCGAAGTGTTCCACAGCAACAAGGCACCAGCGAAGGGTGATGCATTAGGGCAAATGGGGCAACATTATTGCATGATTCTTACCTGTGAATGGAAGCTAATTTGGCTGATTTTAGGCCGATGGAGAACTCTGCGCAATACAAGTCAGCTTCCGCCCATGTTTTATTGATTGGAAAGTATCTATAGCAAAAGCCTTCATATTCAGTCCAAAAGAGAGGGCAAGAGTAAGAGAGAATTGGCTCTGGCAAAGCTAGGGAGAGAGGAAGGAAATAGGTTAGAGAGGCTCATATCTCAAGACACTTCCACTTGTCAGATTCACTTGCTATCAGTCCTGGGAGTGCAGAAGATTACATGGGTCAGGAAAGCCACCTCTGTCTCAACAACAGTTGTCAAAAGAGACGAGCAACAGCTGTCATTTCCATGCATCTTGACACACCATTGGCTGCGGGCAATGCAGAGCTGGGAGGGGGAAGTGCTCAGGAGAGGCATCTGGAAAGAAGCCCACAAAAGAGGAGATTAGATAAAACCCACCACGCTGGATAAACAGCCTTGTCCTCCTATCCCCTCTAGCAAATACCACTTCAGCAGGCGACGTCACGTCTCTTAACGTGGGAAAGAAGGACCAGAATTGTGTCCCCCACCCATCCCAATGTCCCTGACTCATTGCCAGTTTGCTACCAAGCTAGGCTCCTGGTTCTTGCGCTAATTCACAAAGATCTAACCCACCTTGGTAGCTCAGTTGGTAGAGAGCATGAGACTCTTAAATCTCAGGGTTGTGGGTTCAAGTCCCATGTTGGGCAAAAGATTCCTGCATTGCAGGGGGTTGGACTAGATGACCCTTATGTTCCCTTCCAATTCTATGGTTTTATAAACGGGGATCCAAAGCACCTAAGGAATTCTTGATTCCTTATGTTCTACCTTGATAATTGAGAGTTTCATCTAGCCCCTGAGGTTCGGTCAGCCTTTAACTAAAGACCAAGTTTTTAGTGTGGCAGGACCTGCCCTGTGGAACTCCCTGCCACTACAGATTCAGCACAAATCATCCCTGCCTTCTTTCAGCCATCTCCAAAAAGCTGTGCTATTCAGACAGGTCTTTCCAATGTGGATTTCTTTTTATTGCCCGCTGTTTATTTATGTTTGTTATTTATCTTTCGGTGAGTTTGTATACTGCCTGGCTGTGTCTTTTTCAAAAAAATGAAAGTGTGGTCTATAAATATTTCAATCAATCAATCAATCAATGACACCACTAAAAGCAGGGAGGGTATGTTTCTGGAGTGTGGCAAAGACATGAGACAGAAGGTTCATTCTCAGTGTTACCGTAAATATCAAGGGCAGGTTGGGGAAACTTTTGGTCCTCCAGATCTGGCCAAACTTCAACTCCCATCAGCTCAGCAAGCACAGCCAATGGCCAGGGATGATGGGAGTTGTAGTTCAGCCAAAGGTTCTGCACACCTTACTGGAAGGATGAGTCAGGCCCCAGTCGAAGCTTTCAAGCTGGTTTCCCCCTCCAAATTCCTCTTCAGAAAACGGCCCATCATCTGGTGGAAAATGAAGCTGTCTGAACCATTCAGCTTGTTGAATTTCTGTACCACTTGCCCCAGTAGGTAACATTAATTTGATTAGCTCCAGTGCACCAGAGGTGCCTGAAAGAATTTTAAGGTTAAATGTGCAAGAGGAGAGAAGGCAAAGCGGGTCAACCCCCTAATTAGCACCTTTCCTGTTCAGTTGCCAATGGCAGCGTTGGCCCAGTCTCTAGACGAGAGGCCAGTAAGCTTTCAACTCCCAGGGCTGAGTTAAATCAAGGATGTCATATTCGCCTCAGGATTTATTTGCTAGCTGTACTTTTAAAAGGAGAAAATAATATAATATGCTAGTCAGAGGCACCAGCTTTCAAGGGTGATTGGGGAGGGGGGCCGACGCCACACGTGTGATCTTGCGATGTCCCAACGTCATGCGCGTGGCATCAGGAAGTCAGGAGGAGCCAGGGTGGAGCCAAACATGGTGGCTGCATGGCGCGATGGCCAGCAGCTCCTCCTCTGCCTCTTCTTGGTGCCGCCACTGGCAGGAGGCTGCTTCAACTTTCCTTCCCCTCTGTGGCAGGAGGAGGAGGAAGGGCGCTCAGCTCCGCACTTTTGGGACATCGGGGGGCAGCTCCTACCCCAAAAATATAGGGGGCCCAAAAGGGCTCGGCTGCTAGGAACCAGCACCCATGATGCTAGTTAAAAGGTCGGCAAAATTTGATGGGTTAGGGTAGTCACTTACATGTCACATGAAAAAACAGGAGAAATAGGTATTGGTGGAAATAAAGAAGTAGCAATGATATCTATTATTTGTTTATTTATGTGCTGGGCATGCGGGCTCTGGGAGTATGGGGATTCTGTGTGTGTGTGTGTGTGTGTGTGTGTGTCTTTCTTCCTGGCAGCTGTGGGGCGCCTCCAAGAGTTTGGGTATATGCTATTTTTATGTATATGCAGGACCCTTAGAACCAAACCCCCGCATAAGATGAGATCATATGGTATTTCAGTGAAGCTCAGATGAACTCACTTTCTCTAGAATATGTTCCACCAACTTCAGTGGCTGAACTGTTCAAACACCGAAAGAAAGTGAAATTAATTCTGTCCATCCTCAGTCACGTGGCTTTCTTAGACAGCATGAAGAAATGGGGGAGAAATTCGATTCTGGCCTCATTTGAAGCCAGATCTATTCAATCTACAACTTCCAAAATTTCATGAGAACAGAAACACACCTATCCTTTGAAATTTGCCCTTATCCAATTTTGCAATGCAGATCGCCAATTGAACAATGTTTACAAAAATGCAAAAATTGAGAAATTGGTTGAAAAATGTTTATTAGGAGAAATTTGACATAAAATCCTGATTAATTTCCAGGAGTTTTTTTCCTTCTTAATTACAAACTGCTGCAAATGTTAGGATAGGAAAAATGAGAAACCGAGAACCAAAATGAGCAGATCCTTCCATCCCTAAATCCATCCAAAGTAAGGTTGGTTATATTGCAGTGGAGCTCAGAAACTCCTCACCTTTTTCTACTTTACACCCCAGCAGTTGAATCCATAATAAGTTAGTTGTGTTTAATTCTCATTCATTTCAGTGAAAATTACCTAATTTTCACTCTATAACACGCACCAGACCATAACACGCACATAGTTTTTAGAGGAGGAAAACAAGAAAAAAAATATTCTAAACGAAACAGTGGATGTATTATTTTTGTGGTTCATACTGTGGCCACAGACATGTGATCTGATAGTGAGTTTGGTGTAGCCCAATGCAAAAATCCTGAGGATCCATGTGGATCCATGCTTTGTAACCACGTTTTAAGTGGGGAGGGAAGGAAAAGCACTCAAGGGACAAGGAGCACGCATGGGGTGTGTGGAGAAGGATGCTGCTAATAATGCTATTTAGCGAGCTGAGTGGGGAGGAGAGAGGGACAGAGAGCCTGCTTGCTTTAAAGGAGCCAATCGGACAGGAGCCGCTTACACTCATGTAAGCGGCTCCTCTCCTCTCCTGCTTTGCTCCTTTAAAGCAAGCAGGCTCTCTGTCCCTCTCTCCTCCCCACTCAGCGGCTCTTCTCCCGCTTTGCTGTTTCAAAGCGAGCCACGGAGGAGGGAAGGAAGGGGAACCATGGATCCTCTGCTCACAACTGCAGCAGATCCCCCCGCCACCCGTAGGCATTCGCTCCATAACACGCACAGACATTTCGCCTTACTTTCTAGGAGGAAAAAAGTGAGCGTTATGGTGCAAAAAATACAGTAAGTTAATATCATGACTGCCATCCCTTTGATTTAATTGGGTTTAAGTTCAACTATTTTAGCCTGAATCCAACCCATTAATTTGAGTAAGTTTTTAAAAACAACAACCAAGTACACTATAATCCCTAATGCCCATAAATCATTTTATCATCTCATTTCTTGGCATTTCAATAACACAGAAGTTCCACAACAACTTAATTATGCAATCAAATAAATCCACATAATTTGTACAAATAGTGGTCTGGAAATGAAATGACAGTGAATAAGTATACCACAGACTCTCAAACAGTTTAGCTGAGCCATAATGACGCCTGAGATGCTATCTGAACATTAGGGATGAATGAATCTGTCAATTTCTATTTATTGCTGTTTGTCATGTTTCCAATCTTCATTTCAGTTCTTTACATGTCTACATCAGTTTTTTTTTCATTTTAAAAAATCCTCATGAAAATTGATCAGCATTTTTGTGTGAATTTCTCCTAATATACACATTTTTGTATGCATTTATGACCAATATTATTTTGTAAAGTGATTTCCTCTAATAGAATGCCTCTTAAGGTATATTAATTATGCATATATATATATAGGCATTTTCATGCACACATTAACCTGGTATATGTATTTTTTGACACATTACTTGACTGGAGAACTGCATTGCAAAATTCAGAGAAGTATGAATTTCAAAAGCTAGCTGAGTTTCAGTTTACATACTGTTTTGAAAAGTACATAGGTTTGCTTTTAAACTGAATGAATTTTCTTCCCTATTCCTACTGAACACAGGCTGCCACCAGAACTGGATTCAACAATAAAGTTGGAGCAAATTGTCAATTTCGTCGATAACTTTCCATGTTGCCTTTTCATCAAAGCCTTTTGATTCCTGGTAAGCCACTCATAAATCCCAACTTTTCTAACTTAATTAGAAAAAAACAATTATCATCTATCAAAGAATGGCATGAGAGAATACAGGACTGTGTTTCAACAGCAAACTAACTCACTTTATTAGTTTCAGAGAACAAAACCTAAGAGAAAATAACTTTAAGTGAAGAAGGATTAATTTCAGTGATCAATATAGGAGATACAGGCTGCTACCAAACGTATATAGTGGGCTTACAGTGTTCTGATACACATGTTAGTTTGGGTCAATAGCTGCTGTGCTACACAGGAAATTTTGACTGGATGTATGCAAATTCGTAGGAGTCACTGAACATTCTACCCTTCTGCCTATCTTTTATTTTCTAAAGCTTATGCATTTTGTGATATAAATGGAATCTATCTATTTATAGCTCTACTTAGCGCCTTTTCTCAAAAGGGGAGGGAGACAAAAACCAAGAGGTGATATTTAGGATCCAAGATTAAACCTCCACCTGATTAAAACCCCAAGCAAAATTACCTTGGCTTCAGGTGTCCCAGTTTTGAGTATTTTATCGTCGGAGATGGGGACTCACCTTGACTGATTTTAATATTGGTGTGTGGGAAAGCCTGGACGGCGAGCAGCACCCCAGAGAAAGTAGCGCAGAAATTCCACCTCGATATCATAGCTGGTCGAGAGCTAGTCTCCTCTTCCGAGCTGCAAAGAACTGGCTGCTCCGTGTTTTTCCTCCCTTTGTAGTGCTACTGAAGTCACTGGAGCAGCTGCAAAGAGGCTTTGTAGACAACTCCCTCCCTTGTAAGGGCAAACTTTCAACAAGATTTGCACAGGATGCTGGCCGAACGCCTCACGGCCTAACCTCCCACACCACTGGCCACTCTTTCTCACTCCTCCAGATGACCTGATTATTGAGCATCCATCATGATCTGCTCATGCAAAGCTCGCGCGGCATTTGGACTATAAGTAGTCTTTATTTCACATCCCTCTCTGGGTAGTTCTATGACAATGAGCATTCACCCCGCATCAAATCACCCTCCATTTGCTTGTGAGGTCCTTACGCATCTTCCCATTAGTCATCCACGAGAAGTCCGATTATTTCTGTTGTGCAAGCGCAACAGAGCACTTCAAGGTTGCGGATTCTACTACGCGCTTGAACCCCTTCCTTAACACACTGCCACACAACAACCCAGTGTCCCAGACAAAACCAAGTTGAGGCTAAAATGGAATAACTTGCCCTCTTCACCCAGCAGTAGAAATGACCTAACAACCCCTTAAGATGATTGCTATGTGACTTAGAGGTAAATCCCAAAGGCGATTCGCAGTTCCAAAAAGCAATGTGCTGGATTTTAGAACATAAAGCCACTTCAAGCTTTCTTTTAAAAGCTTTTTATCTTGGTGCTTTTAAAAAAATACTTGCCAGGACTGTCAAAGGTGGAGGCAGGTCCAAGTCTCAGAGCTGCTAGGTCTATGAAGGAACACAGCACAGTGAAAGATATGTGGCAATATACCACATTTTTAAAAAGACCAGTAAGGGGTGTTCCTACCAATCGCCCAATGCACTCAATTTAACAGGTCAGGTGGTAGTTGGGGATGAATCCTGTCTATACTTCTCCCATGCTGATGCACACACTGAGAGATGGCATTTCTTCAAAGGTGTTTTTTTTCCTGAGGAAATTTATGAGATTTCTTTTTCCTTTTCTCAGCCCCCAAGGTGTGTGTGTGTGGAGGAGGGATTGCTCTGCACAGTGTTTTTGAATATTCTCCACTATATTGGGTGGGGGCTGCCATTCCTCTTCCCCCTTCTGAACACACACACACACACACACACACACACAGTCACGGGGCAATGCGGAAACATTGGGGAGGAAACAAAATGGCAGCCAGGTAGCTGACAGAGTTGCTCCTACTACCCAAGAGCCAGTGCAGTGTTAGTGGTTAGTATTTGACTTAGAACTGGGAGACCAGGGTTCAAATCCTCGCTCAGCCATGAAACTTGGTGGGTGACCTTGGAGGTTAGTCACTGCCTCTCAGCCTAACCTGCCTCACAGGGTTGTTGTGGAGCTAAACATACATAAGAATGTTTTTCCTACTAAAACTTCGAACTGTGGCTGTGTCTAGTGGCAACTCATGTTACCCCACCCCACTCCCCAACTGCCAGTCTACATGGGCCCACTCAATCTGCAGAACATGGCCACATAATGTGTGTTTTCCACACTTGTGAGAAATCAATATTTTAGTGTGGCAGCATGTATTCTCTGAAACTCACCTCCTCACTGATATTACACAGCCTCCCCTGAAAATGCCTCTGCTGTGATATTTTCGATGTCAGCTAAACCATTTTCAGGGGAGGCCGAGCCTATCCATACATATATTTTTGGTATCATTATTTTATTTGGCCATCTGTCAGGGATTCTTTAGCAGTGATTCTGGCATTGCAGGGGGTTGGATTAGATGGCATCTGAGTTGCTCCAAACTCTAAAGTTCTATGCTTTATTAAAGTTGTTGATTTTATCTATATTTAAAATTATAATGTAAGGTCCTGGAGTGGGTTACAAGTTCTTTATTCCAATATAGATACAAACACTGAACAAAACTGAAGTACTGTGTAACTTTATTATGTCTACTGTTTTTAAGGTTTGTTTTATTGCTATTTTTAAATATTTTATAACATTTTATATAAACCACTTTTTTAAAAATTGTGTGGTATCTAAATAGTGAATAATTTCACACACACACACACACACAAATACTAAAACTCCCTGAATGTAGAAAATTAGCACATCAGGGAGAAGGCTAAGTTAGAACACTTGTCCCTGACATTGCTAGTTTTCTATATACATGCATGACTGCATGGATTTGTTATATTTATTTATACCCTGAATATCGAAAACAAGCACATCAGGAAGTAGGCCAGGCCAGGACCCTTCTTCTTGGCATGCTGGTCTTTTTTATTTGGGAAGTGAGTGATTAGTTGATTATCCCTGCTACTGCTCCCCTAATATAGAAAGCTAGCCTGTCAAGAAGAGAGTCAGGTTAGGGCCCTTCTCCTTGATACACTAGCTTTCTCTGTGCAGGGATTTATTCATTCTCTCTTCTTTAAAAAAAGGGGGGGTAAGCAGGAGTGTTCTATCCCATACCTGCCACCTGAAGCATTGCAGCTCAGACATAGGTCGGCCATCTCAGTAAGAACAAGGCCACAGATGAACATGAAACAAAAGACTTTGGATTAAGATTGTTTTGGCTGGGAGGCGCTGTGGATTTTTCTATGGTTGATGGATCCCAGCGTGAGTCTATTGCCAAGGACAAGAAGGAATTTACAGCTCCCCCAGGCCAGTAATCCTCAGGCTTCCAACTGGAATGAAAAGGAGAAGAACAAGCTCATGCAATGCCACAGACCTTTAAAGGCAGAAACGTTCTCCCCACTGCATGGGTGCGCAGATGCTACGCGAAGATCGCCAAGCAGCGGCCAGAAAAAAACGTGAATGTGCTCCCATCCCTGCACCACCTCCTATACTCTCACAGTTCTGGTTTGGGTGAAGGAACACAGTCTCTCTGTAGCAAGCTTTACCCCCAAACACACCATCTTTATAACAACATCCTTAGAAGACGTGTGTGATGCACAGGGGGGCAGTGGTTATTAAAAGGGGATTACAGGGGTGACTGAGACTGACAGGTGAGTCAAGGCTCTTTGACTCTGCAACAAGTATATGAGCAAGACTCTTGGGGCCCTTGAACCTTTTTTGGGGGAGGGAGCCTTAACCAGGGGCAGTTAACTACAAGATCGCCTCACCGCACATGTGCGCTCACTCGACCACTTCAATCAGCGGCAGGGAAAACAGGGACATTCCAGGATCAAATCAGAAGCCAGAACGGCTTTCGTAATTCCAGCACTGCCCCTGGAAAATCAGGGCACTTGGACAGTGTGCTATTGTGTCGCTTTGTTTCCCGTTCTTGGATTGCAAATATTTAATGAAGAGCAGGCTATAAATACTGGAAATAAATAAACAATAAAATTACCTTTGAGCAGCAGGTCCGTTTCTTCACAGTCACACATCTCTACTCAGGCAAGCAGGCGCATTCAATGGCACATTCCAGCTAGGCAAAAAAACTTGGGAGTGGATAGCAGGGCTAGGGAGCAGTGTGGCCTGTCAAGACTTCCAAGAACCAAACAGAGAGGCCTGGAGGGCTGCATTTGACACCCCCCCCCCAAGGCCTAAAGTGCCCCAGTGTAGGGATTGTCAATATGGTGGCCTCCTGGTGGTGTTGGGATTGCAATTCCCATCTTCCCTGATCATTGCATACTTTCCAACATTTTCTCTGATGAAAACAGGAACATCCTATTCAACAACAACAACAACTCTATTATTTATACCCCACCCATCTGACTGCGTTGCCCCAGCCTCTCTGGGTGGCTTCCAACATATATAAAAATATAATAAAACATTAAACATAAAAAAAACTTCCCTAGACAGGGCTGCTTTCAAATGCTTCTAAAGGTTGCACCATTCCATACCCTCCAACATTTGTCCAATGAAAATAGGGACATCCTAAGGAAAACTGGGACATTCTGGGATCAAATCAGAAACCGGGGTGGCTTCTGTAAATCCGGGACTGTCCCTGGAAATAGGGACACTTGGAGGGTCTGTCATTGGCCACGTTGGGGGAAGGACTCCAGTAACACCTGGAGTTCTCGTTTGCTTTCGCAGGGAAACCAAAATGCTTGTTTACAAAGCTATTGTACTACCAACCTTACTGTATGCTTGTGAAACATGGACCACTTATAAACGCCATCTCCAACTCCTCGAAAGATTCCATCAACGGTGTCTCCAAAAAATTTTACACATCACTTGGGAAGACAGGCGAACTAATATCAGTGTACTGGAAGAAGCAAAGATCACTAGTGTTGAAGCAATGATACTTCAACATCAGCTTCGTTGGACTGGTCATGTTGTGAGGATGCCTGATGATCGTCTTCCAAAGCAACTAATTTATTCCGAACTTAAAAATGGAAAGCGTAAAGCTGGTGGTCAACAAAAGAGGTTTAAAGTTACTGTCTCAAGGCAAATCTTTAAAAATGTAGTATAAACACTGACAACTGGGAAACACTGGACTATGAGCACTCCAGTTGGAGAACAGCCTTTACCAAAGGTGTCATGGGCTTTGAAGAAGCTTGAACCCAGGACACAAGGGAGAAACGTGCTAAGAGGAAGCCACACTTGGCAAATTTACACCGTGATCAACTCCCGCCCGGAAACCAATGTCCCCACTGTGGAAGGACATGTGGATCCAGAATTGGCCTCCACAGTCACTTACGGACTCATTGTTAAAACCGTGTTTATGGAAGACAATCTTACTCGGCTACGAGTGATCGCCAAAGAGGAAGAAGAAGAAAGAAGAAGATGACTGCTGATCTGTAAATGTTTTTTAGTTAACATGATGATCTTTTTGTTTTATTTCTAAAAAAATGTTTAGGGGTACTCTCATTTTGACTCAAGAAAACCATCATTTAATAGTTCAAATCAGGAAAAATAAATACAGTAAACAGACAAAGATTCACAAAATGTTTAGAAGTATGTGTAACCCCTCCCCAAAAAAAAGCACTGGTTTTAGTTCTCTCTTTTAAATTCTTGAATTTTTTTGTAATCTACCTTGGGAGGGTTTGTCCCTAAAAGATGGCCTAAAAATATTTTAAATAAATAAACGTAATGGGGGGAGGGGTCAGCCTGCATGATCCCTTCCAAAGCAATGATCCTGTATCTGTGTGGGTTGAATCTGTAAAAGGAAACCTGCCACATCAGTTTCCTTGTCAATGTAACAGCCTTAGCCGCTCAGCCAGGTACACATCACCTGCCTCTTGAAAGAGTGAGTGCTGTTGCCATAGAGACAAATGTGGTCATCTGTTAGGGGGTTTGACTAGATGATCCTTGGATCCCTTCCAACCCCACAATTCTAAGATTCTATAATTCTGTAGCACAAATAACCACAATGCCCCAAGAAACTCACTGCTGAATCTCGCTCAAAGGGATGTTGTGCGGGCATCCAGAACACAGGTCATCATTCTTGAGATGAGTTGCTTAAAAAGACCACCACTTCATTCTTACTTGACACAAATAAACAGATCTTTATTTTTCTCATAAATATACCTCCTTAGACAGTATGTTTGGGGTTGGGGAGAATGTACAGAAGCATCTAACAAAATCGACAGAATTTGCTGACTTGTCACGTCCATCCACCGCTTTGGGAAACTATGGTTTTAAAATAAGGAGGAACCAAAACCCCTCCATCGGGCCCAAGAGCCAACAAACATGAACATTTCTGTCAAAGTAAAGTCAGCCCGTGCCAGCTTTTATGATGGATGCTGACACATCAGACATCTGTTGCATGAATACTGCAGCAAATGCTCAGATTGTTGTCTCCATGTGCCATGGTTCTGTGCATTCTTTTTTTTAAAAAAAGGTTTTGCTACTTATAAAAGTTAACAGCGATATACTAAGTTAATTTTCATACAGGAATATTACGCCTTATAAGAACCAAATTTATATTCTTTTTGGGGTCCCAATACAGGTTCTCTTTGTAATTGTACAAGAGTGTTAAGAGGCCTGTGTATCAGACAAAAGGCCCATCTAGCCTAAATTCCCATTTCCCACAACGACCAATCAGATGCCTCTCGGAAATCCCACAGGAATCCCCTCTCCCACAGCGGATCCCAGCAAATGAGCTGTTCAAGTGTTCAATCTCACATACATTCAATTTGCTCAGGTCATCTATTCCAGGGGTGGGGCAACTTTTTCAGACCAGGGGCCACGTTTCCTTCTGAGTGACCTTCCAGGGGCCACATGACCAGTGGCAGAGAGAGGGCAAAGGCAAAGGTGAACAGAACAGTGGGCTAGTTTCTTCACACTCACTCATACCTTTCTCTCATCTCCGCCTAGGCACACAAGAAGCATTATCAGAGTTTGAGGACATGTCCCAGCCGGACAAAAGTATAGGAGGCTGCAAAGCAGGGCAGGTGAGCACTGTGACTCAAGAGGGTGTGTGCCCTGTGGAGACGCCTGGAGGGGCCTCTCTGGCAGCCTGAGGTTATATAGTAATAATTTATTATTTATACCCCACCCATCTGGCTGGGCTTCCCCAGCCACTCTGTGCGGCTTCCACCAAAATATTAAAATACAGTAGTGCATCAAACATTAAAAGCTTCCCTAAACAGGGCTGCCTTCAGATGTCTTCTAAAAGTCTGGTAGTTGTTGTTCCCTTTGACATCTGGTGGGAGGGCGATCCCCATCCCTGATCTCTACAGTATTACAGAAGGTTCAACCTACTTCCCTACACCTTTTCTGTATGTGGCAGGTAAATACACAGACATTTGCTGACTTTACACTCAAGACCGGTTCAACACACTGAAATACAAAGGGGTGTGTGTGGAGAGATCAACTTGACTATCACATGTAAATGCAACTCACACGGCATTAGGTCTTTTGTGAACGTTGCCACAAAAGGTTCCTAAAATGCGGGGGGGTGGGGGTGGGATTTGACACAAACAGTTCTCTGAAACCTTCAGATGCCTCCACTTTCAAGTTCAGCCACGGCCTTTAAAGGGACATGTGCCCCATTCTAATGATGTGCCAGGAATGTGGTGGATCCATGTGCACAGAAGTCCCTACTACGGCTGTTTTGAGTGAGGCAAAGCACAAAGTGGAACCTGCCTCCTTCCAGAAGCTGATTGGGCCAGTGGCTGAACCTGATTTCAACACCCTCCACTGCCCTTGAGGATAGCAGGTAGACTACAGGGTGCAACTCCTTGCACCCTCAGCACCCACCTCACTCTGCTGGGTGGTTGGCTCCTCCGTGCCTCCACCGCTTCCAAGGGAAAGGACAACTCCACACACACTTTGCACTCATGGAACCTGCACCGTGGAAACAAATTGGGCAGCTCACACATCCCAGACCATTGCACATTTCTGGAACTAGCACTGCAACTAGGCTGCCACCCACAATTTCCCTCCTCCAAAATGAGCTTTGTTGACTTCAACGCAGGAATCTTCAGCCTTTTCAGACCCAGGACCCACTCTTAAGTCAAACATGCACACACCCCAATTCTGGTAGCAGTGCTACCATTTCAACCCAACTTAGATCAGGTTGCAACCAGGTGATGGGTTCCAACCAATCGGCTTTAAGGGGCCTGCTCAAGGGTGATCCAGCTGTGGACTGCAGCCTTCATAACAGTACACCAGCGGGTTCTTGAATGATGCAACATTTTACAAAATGCTAGCATGTGTCATTGAGCAGGAAAGAGACGACTGCCTCCATCCCATTCTGCCCAAGGGAACAGCTCCAGACACAGAAGCACACGTTATATCTGATTTGGTTAAGCTAGTACAGTGACAAAGGAAGGACTGGGTTTAGACGTATTTACACCATACACTCTACCGCTAAAACAACATCCTAGTAATCTACCACGCATTCACCACGGATAACACACAGGATCTGATACCTTCCGATACAATTGCTCACACGAGATGTAGAGTATGGTGTAGTGGAGAGGAAACCATGAAGCTTTTCCGCAGCTAACCAGTCTGCTATCTGCACTGCACTATGACATAGCAGGCAACAAAGGATTTCTGAAAATGTATTAGCAGACAACCCTTTGAGCAGCTTCCACTGTCCTACACAACAGCATCACCTTCTGATGTGGATGTAGTGGTTGATATGTGATCCTGAGTAAAACAATCAATGGGGTGGATGAAATAATAGGTAGCACGGAGGCTAATGCAACTATTTTTTTCGTTGCCAGTGGCCATTAAGAGTTGCTGTGGATTCCATAGTGATTATGTGCAAGTGTGTGTGTTTGTGTGTGTGTATGACTTGTCTTGTATAGATCTGCTCAGTGGCTTGCTAGCAGCGTTGGTGTCCTCACGTCACCTCCAGGGAAGCCGGGGAGACGCGGTCACATTCAGCTCGCGACCGGAGAGTGTGCCACTGCTCCACAGCCGTGCGGTGGGAGTTCAGCATCCGCCGCCAGTGCTTGGATTCCGAAGAGCCTGTGGAGTACTGGCCAATCACAATCCGCCCAATGAAGTCGTTGCTGCTCTTCATGTTGTGGCCAAAGACTGAAGATAACAAAGAGAGAGGCAGGGAGAAAGAAAGATGGGGTGGGGGTGAGGGAGTAAAGACTGAAAAAGCAGCTGCAACGCCAACCCTAACTCTCAGATCTCCCCTTGACTGGAACAATTATCAAGAGAGCTCTCTAGCAAGCATAACTGTGCAACCTTGAATTTGACATTACAGTGGTGCCTCGCAAGACGAAATTAATCCGTTCCGCGAGTCTCTTCGTCTTGCGGTTTTTTCGTCTTGCGAAGCACGGCTATTAGCGGCTTAGTGGCTATTAGCGGCTTTAAGAAAAAGGAAACAAACTCGCAAGAACTCGCAAGACGTTTTGTCTTGCGAAGCAAGCCCATAGGGAAATTCGTCTTGCGGAAAGACTCAAAAAACGGAAAACTCTTTCGTCTAGCGAGTTTTTCGTCTAGCGAGTTTTTCGTCTTGCGGGGCACCACTGTATGTGACTGAATCCCACCCAAAAGCACCCAGAGAAAGCAGTGACTTCCGATTGCAGTGGACGGAACTGGCAGAGCTGCAGAATCATGCCAGAAATTGTCTTCCTTCTTTCCTGTCAATAAATTTGTACCAGGATAACTCTAGCAGCAATGAAAGAGAAAGGGAACACTGGTGAACAATTATCTACTTACAGAAGTGGTACCTGCAACAAAATGATGCAGAGTGGAGTCTTTCTGACCAAAATGCCAGCCAGTCAGCCATGCCCTTTTCCATTCCATTCCATTCACCACCCTGCCCCCAGTTCCCTTCCCCAACAATCAACCAACATGCCATGTCCACTGACCACTGTCTTCATTGAGCTGCATTTAGTTCCAACTCCATTCCTCGCCATGGGATTATTAAGTTCTTCTTTAGAATCTTTGCACTTACGCAAACCTTGTGTGTAATATGTATTGTTTTGGTAATGAAAATGCTTTTAAAAATAAATTATCAACTAGAAAGCATGGGTGTGTGGTTTTATAGTGAGGTTTTAATTCTGTTGTGTACTGGTTTCAGTTTCACAACAGTTCTTGCCCTTTTACAGGTTTGTTCATTTTGGGTTTTTCAGTTGTTGTTTTATTATTTGAACTGCTGATCTGCTCAAATAGTTTCGACTGAAGATAGAACTGAGACTGCAACACAAAGACTGTTGGAAGTTTGGGTGCAACTCAGCTTGCAAATGAGGTGTTTTCCAGGGGTTAAAACAGACATTGTTAGGGACCTTCAGATTCCCAGACTATCCCTGTATCTTTAGCCTATCAGCTTCCTTCTCTATCTTTTTGATGGTAGATTGAACAACTTTTTCTTACCTACAAGCATATGAGACCAGTCTGAGCGAAACTTAGTTGGAGACAACTCTGTTTTTCCATTTAGATTAGTCACTGGGTGAAATGCAAAATAGAGATAGCTTAAAAAGCTAAAGGTAAAGGGACCCCTGACCATTAGGTCCAGTCGTGGCCAACTCTGGGGTTGTGGCGCTCATCTCACTTTACTGGCCAAGGGAGCCGGCGTACAGCTTCCGGGTCATGTGGCCAGCATGACTAAGCCGCTTCTGGCGAACCAGAGCAGTGCACGGAAACGCCGTTTACCTTCCCACCGGAGCAGTACCTATTTATCTACTTGCACTTTGATGTGCTTTCGAACTGCTAGGTTGGCAGGGGCAGGGACCGAGCAACAGGAGCTCACCCCGTCGCGGGGATTTGAACCGCCGACCTTCTGATCAGCAAGTCCTAGGCTCTGTGGTTTAACCCACAGCGCCACCCACGTCCCGAGATGTAGCTTAGTTGTGTTTATTCATTTCAATAAGCCTACTCTGAGCAGGTCTAGCATTGAATTCCACCCACTATTTCCAAGTTTGCATCTACACGTATAAATAAACATGGGTCAAATTTTATGAGAATCTGTGCCCTCTCTTCTTTCTGGGTGATGCATATCCTATACTGTACTGTATTATTGTTTTGGAGATGAGTAAGTGGCCATTCTATGGCTCACCTTCCCCACTCTCTTTCTGGGCTACAGAGGCTGAGCAACCAGGAGTGTGCTGCCACCTGCTGGTTCACTTCCCCTCCCCTTGGTAAGGAAGGAGGAGGTTCAGCAGCTCCAGCAGCCGCAAGGAAGGTAACCAAGATGATAAAGATGGAAACGAAGCCTTATGACAATTGGTTGAAGGAGTTGGGCATGCTTTAGCCTGGAGGTGATATGATAGCCATCCTCATATATCTGAAGGGCTGTGACATGGAATATGATGATGATGATGATGATGGTGATGATGATGATGATTAAATTTGTATACCACCCTTCATCCATAGATCTCAGGGCGCTTCACCACAGACTATACAACAGGTTCACAACAGGTTAATACAAGATAAAAGCACAAAACACATAATACAAACAAGAACAAAACAAAAAAACCCCCCACACAAACCAATGACCCCTTTCTCCCCTTCCCACAAACACATTTGAAAGGGCATCGGATGTTAATTGAAGAGGAACGTTTTCACCCGGTGCCTAAAGGTGCATAATGAAGGTGCCGGCTGAACCTCCCTGGGGAGAGCATTCCACAAACAAGGAGCCACTGCAGAAAAGGCCTGTTCACGTGTTGCCGCTCTCTGGACCTCTTGTAGGGAAGGCACACCAAGAAGGGCCTCAGATGATGAGCAAGCTTACTTTCTGCTGCTCCAGAGGACTGGACCAATGGATTCAAATTACAAGAAAAGAGATTCCAGCTAGACATTAGGAAGAACTTTCTGATGTTAAGAGCTGTTTGACAGTGGAGCGGATGGTAGGTTTTTAAACAGGGGTTTTGAAGCAGAGTTTGGATGGCCATCTGTCAGGGGTTATTTGGCTGTGATTCCTGCAATACAGGGGGCAGGGCAAGATAGCCCCTGGGGTTCCCTTCCAACTCTACAGTTCTATGATTCTAAGTGCTCCCCCTGCTCCAGTCTAATCCTACACAAACTTATTTGCACAGAAACATCCTAACACATGTTCCCCCAAAGCTTTCCATTTCATGTAGATTGTTTTCCTGTTACATATTTCAAAAGCCTTTCAATAATTAAACTGTTCGCCTGCAACTGCTCTGCAAACCCAGCCTGCCAATAAAGAGAACAAACCATTGCTGGTCTTGTGGCCTCTGTAGGACGAATAAAAGCATAGCCGTGAGGCCTGAGCACATAACTGGGGAACAAACAAAAGCACAATCTACAATGTGTACTTATTCCATAGCCTCAGAAGCCTATTCACTCAGGCATCAGCTAGGATCAGTCTTTGTCTTTCCACTCCCAGAGGCAATAGTAATAGTAATATCAATAACAGTAGTAGTCATCATAATAGCAGCCTAGGAAGTTGTCTTATACAGCACCAGACCATTGGTCCATCTAACGTTGTGTTTTCCCCCCAGCCCTACTCAAGCCTGGCCCTGAGAAACTAAATTATTTCAGATCACCATTCACATTTAGATTGTGAATGGAATTCGTTACTTAAGCCAACACTGAGCGAACATCTAGGGGCAGCATCCCTACACATGTTTGTAGAGGAGAAATATTTCCTCGAAGGTGTGGAGAAAGCAGGGCTCACTGAACATGTCAATTAGCTGACTGGCACTGCCAGCGAGTCCCGCTTGCAAAGGGAGACTCAGAAGCTAACATTCAGCTTGCAGCCACAACCTTAACTGATGTCAGGTGCTGGGGGGCAGATGGTTGTGGGTTGAGGGGAAATTGTCTTGCATGCCAAACAGGAACCTACAGACTGGAGGTTCCCAATCCCTGGTTTAACACATCCTTTCACAGAAAACATGCCCAGACTGAAGAGCCAAGCCCGAGGAAGTTCTTATTTAAGGCCAGCAAAGCTTCTACTGGCTCCCCAAGTCACCTGATTCCTGATGGCCCAACTAACTTCAATCTGCAGTCCTGCTGGCAGGGACGCTGTAGAGCAACAAGGCTCAGGCCAGGTAGTCCTTCCACCTGTAATCTGTCCCAGTCTAGTGGAATAAAACACTCAATTCAAGCCTGGTATGTAACACACCCACAGGAGGTCAGGTGTGACAAGGATCTGGGGAAAGGGAAGAGGACAACCATGAACAGATAAGTCATAGAACTGTAGATCTGGAAGGGATCCCAAGGGTCATCTAGTCCAACCCTGTGCTATAGGAATCACAGCTAAAGAATCCCTGGCAGATGCCTACCCAACCTCCAAGGAGGTCCAACACCCTTTCAGGGTAGTCCATTGCACTTTTGAACAGCTTTCACTATCAGAAAGTTCCTCCTAATGTTGGCATCTCCTTTCTTGTCATTTGAATCCACTGGTTTGGTTCCCACACTCCGCAGCAGCAGAAAACAAGCTTGCTCCATCTTCCATGTGACAGATATTTAGTTGGCTATCAAATCTTCTGTCAGTCTTCTCGTCTAGATCCTACATACCCAACAATCGTTCTTCACAAGGCTTGATTTCCAGACCCTCTGTCATCTTACTTGCCCTCTCTTCAGATGTTCCAGCTTGTCAAGTCTGTGGAAGCCCGGGGATGGATTTACCAAAAAACAGTCTAGGAACCTGCCCAGGGCCTGAAACCTTTCTGGGTGGGAACTGAAACGCTCCACATGCCCTCCCCCACAACCCAAAGCTGTGCAAAAACACTAATCATAATATTAACCCAGGTGAAACAATTTCTCTTAATAAAGGCAACTGACTCCAGACAGCTGGTAATGTTTATATATTGTGGGTGAGAGAGCAGGAGGAGGAGAATGTGGCTTAGGTGACTGTCTTTTTCTATTTCAGAATAAGGCCCTCAATGGATTACAGGAACAATTCCTTCCTCCCACACCTGATCTAGTGCGTTCAAAACTATGCATGCTGCCTTTTCCGCAGAGGAAAAATTATGTATGTCATGCTTGCGATTTAAATTGCTGATGAGCATTGCTTTCATTCGGAAATGTTTGGAAACAAGCTAATGGGTTCTCATTTCAGCGTCTCGTCTCAACAGCAACATCTGTTTCTACTACGGTGGGTGTGCACAGAGGATAAAATCCCTTCAGATCTCAATTGGGTGCTTCTGAGAGGGGGCTGCTTTTTGTGTGAGGGGTTTTGTTATGGTCCACTTCAAAAGAGAGGCGTTTCATTTGAGACCTGAGACAGAACCTTGCTTTCATTTCCTGAAGTTCTGGGCATCATGGGGCAAGATCAGGGATGGCTGATGTGCTGATTGCCAGATGTTGAGGAGGAAGACAACTCTCAGCAGACTGGGAGGAGATTTCGGAAGCTGAAGAGGCTTCCGTCACACCCTGACCCAACTGTGGGTATCATTCAAACCACAAGAGGCATGTTTATTCTTTAAAACCATTTTGTTCCTCACTTGTACATAAATGAAGATTTAGGCTGCCAACCCAACCCTACTCACCTGGGGTAAGTCCTACTGGAGTCAGTAAGATTTACTTCTGAGTAGATATAGTAAGGATTGCACTGTTAATAGGGAGAATTCCAACAACAACAGGGGAGAAAGAGGAACTCTGCAAACAATATGTAATTACTCTCTCCCCCATGGTTTTGATGTTTCCTTTAAGTTACGTATATAGCTACACACCTGATTTAAATAGTAATGCATCTTAATTAGTGGACAGTAAGATGAATGACATAGTAGTTGATGGAAACAAAGCTGCAGCAGAATGGAGACAGTGTTGATTGTGACCAACACAGGTTGGTCACAACAGAAATCTCTATCTTCTTACAACCCTAGCTGTTAGTTGATTAATTGACGGAAAGTCACATGAATTAATCAGCCAAAATTATTCAACTGTGTGGCAGGCCTACAAACCACATTTGAAAGAGATACGTGAACATACCTGTGAAGACTAAACTGGCACTTTCAAGTTCTTCTTGGGGCACTTTGAAACTGAAGGACTCGTTGTAGAAGGGGTCAATGGTAGCCCTCTTGCAAGAAGTCTTCTTTGTTTTTGCCAGTTTTAAACCATGAACAAGTTGGATCTTCACAAAGGGATCTGAACAGAAAACAAGCACAGCTTGATTTTCCAGAAAGGATTTTGTTCATCGGAAATCATTATTTCCTGTCACTGCCCAGTTCACGCATTAAGTTGGCCCAAGTGAACTCCTTGCCCCAATGCAGCCTGGACTCTGACCCAGACAAGGAAGGGAAAGCCCATTAAATTGGATTCAGAGAGAAATAGGTGCCAGATACAAATCCAGGCCCTGACATCTTGACCAGCTTTGAGCCTGGACTCAAGCCGATAAGCAAGGAAAGCCCAACCCTATTATTGGACAGAGTGACATAGTTTGCCTCAGGTGGCAGAGTCTGGAGGGAAGGGAGTGGTAGCAAAGCCCTGTATTTGTAAGTTTCTAATGTCTGATGTTTTATTATGTTTTTTTATGTGTTGGAAGCTGCCCAGAGTGGCTGGAGAAACCCAGCCAGATGGGTGGGGTGGTATTATTATTATTATTATTATTATTATTATTATTATTATGTTGGTGCTCTGTAGACCATGCACTGCTTGCCCTGCACCCGCTAAGCTGGGAATCAGAGGTGGGGAGTGTTGTTGAACCCCGGTCCTGTTTACCGGCTCCCCGTAGGTAATCTGGTTGGCCAGTGTGAAAAGAAGATGCTAGAGCAGACAGGCCTTTAAGGGGATTCTTGTATTTTATAGACAATTTTCATGTATTTTATACTTATTACTGGGGAGCATTTTAGGGTTTTTTAATTCTGGTCATTACACTTTTTACTGTTTGCTTTCTGAAAGAGTGACTAATAAATATAATTATTAATAACAATGCTCAGAAGCAGTGGTGAGTCTTCGGCCTCCCTCTTTCGGCTGTAACCTTCTTTCCCTGCTCGCTCCTATGAAGATTATATCTGCTGAAAAGAACCTGCTCTCTCTCAGAAAGAACAGCGTAGCTGACCTTCCTTCACCAAAGCCAGCCTTCCGTTGTTCGAAATTGAAAGTAAACAGGGTACATTTTGACTTCTGCTTCTGAGGAACAAAAATGACTCCTCTGGTGATTCCAAGAATGGTTGGGAAAGGGCAGCTTCTAAACGCCACTTGCCTGCTGATTTTCTCCATACTGAAAGTAAAACACACACACGCACAAAATCTCCTCAGGTCTCCCACTTATACAGTATTCAGTCTGGAAGAGGATTGATGGAGGGGGGGGAGCTTAAATATAGATCCATGTGCATTTGCTGGGAAGACTTCAGGCTTTGGGGATCTATTTTGCTTTCTACTGGAACCCCGAAATCCACAACTGGAGCCAGGTGCATTAAAAATTGGGGTGGAGGTCACACATTAAGAATTAAGAATCCGGGAGCTCTGAGCATATGCTCAGTCCGGGATTATGAGTTGTGAGAATTGAGCTCACAATCCTTTCGCACAGCAATCCACTGCCAATTCTCTCTCCTGCCCCTTCCAGATTTCTCCTGCCCCTTCCAGCAGCTAGGTTGTTGCCATGGTGATACAAGGGCTGAAGGCCATACTGGGGTGGGGTGGGGTTGTGAGGTGAGCCGTGCATGTTGAAGAGGTGGAGGCTGACCAGTAGCTCTGTGCTGAGGACCCCTTGAAAGTGCCCTCTTGCACTATCCCCCAACAAAGCCGGCTGGATTTGTGCCTTTTTGGCAGACACCACCTCACCCACCAAAAAGCTGAAATGTGCCTTCCTGAGGCCCAGCACACAAGGCAAGAGGCACAGCTGTTTGGACCTCTCTATTTTCAACTGGGCATAGTTAGAACTGTTTTTATTGTTTTCCGGTTCATGGTTATTTTTAGGCACCCCTTAGGTAAAATGCAGATGCCGTCTTTTAAAAAAATCTATACATTTCCCACCATTATTCTGTAGAAACACTGACATTTGGATGTGCCGGTGGCATTTCTCAAATCGTAAATGTCTGGTCTGAAAAGGTCATAGAGGTAAAGTTCTTCAAAGACTCTGGAAGTCAAAACCTTCTCAGAAGCCTCCTCTGATTCTGAATGCTCCGTCCCGCCCCTCTCAGTACAAGCGGAGGCTGGATGCAGCAGTGAGGAACAGACATTCTCTGCACATGCTCAGAGACACACTACTCCTTTGTCGATTTGCATATCCTGGCACTGAAAATTTCCGTGCGGCGGGGGCTTGGTTCATATTAGGACTTTAGGGCTGGGATTTTTCGGAGCTGCTTTGGGGAACGACAATATCCTGTTCCCTGTTGAAAACATCCACATCTTTCAGAATCTTATACATCTCAGCAGTACCAGAGCACCTCCGATTAAGTGCAGCAGTCATTACTGGAAAAGCGCCAGTCCGTACCTGAACCTTGGCTCATATCTGTTTGAAGCAGCTGTTTTGCTCTAATGATGTCTACATTCAGTCTTCCTGCACTGGGAAGGTAGTTTAACGACAGCAGGAGTTCTCCCAGTTCAACTTCATTCTGCAACAGATGTGCCAAAGAAGGAATCAAACAGGACAAGAGGTGGGGTGTTTGAAACAAAGGGCATTACAAGCCATGTCCAAGGATCACAAATGCCCTTACAGCAGGTGTGGGAAACCTCTGGACCAAGGGCCAAACGCTGGCCCTCCAAGCCCCTCTATCTGGGCAAGGCCCTGTGATGATGAGGGGAAGCACAGTACACCCTCCGCTGCCACGGCAAAGCCCTCTGCTTCTGCAGGGAGGTATGGCTGGACCCTCTGCCGCCATGGGGAGGCCCAGTAAGGCCCTCCACCACCACAGATATATATCGTGATATATCGAGATATTGTGATATTTAGCTGGTGATATATCACAATGTTGAAAATCAGATATCGCCCAGCCCTAGCCTGGGCCACTTCCAGCATTTGAGGCCCCTAGCCATAATCAAAATTAAAAAGGACAACACACGAGAAACAAATTAACCTTCCTCCCCCCACAACCCAAACATGAGTAATTTATTTACATAATCAGCTGATCTGAGAGGATATTGTCTGGGTCTAGTTTTGTGCTACCAGAACAGATATTTTTATTAATATTTGTGAATGTTTAAACTCTTCGACATGACAAAAACTATGTCAGTTAACAGAAGAAAATGATGCATTTTCCAAATCACAAATCTTATTTGCTTAGATTTGCAGCTCTAAGCTGAGAGTGTTGGGTTATGGTCCAATGCTCATAAAAACATGTTATGAAATTTATCAAAGGCTAAAAGATCAACAAGTGTCTAAATCTGAGGAGCCACCCCCCCCCCCTTGGTGCTTGAGATCCAGGCCAAACAGCCCCCCTGTCCTCCACACACCGTGACTGACCCTGAACACCACAGAGCATATGAGATGGAATCTCAGCCAGGACCTAAGCATGGCGCACGACCACCAGTATATAAAACAGTCAGTAAGACGCACAGCTATATCCCTCTGGCCCCACATGTCAGACAATAAGAATTCAGAAGTAGAAAGAAACCTCTGATGACAGAAAACCATGGAGGAAGAGCGTTTTGCACAAATAACGATAATAAAGCACTACAATAATCAAACAAGCACTTAGAACAGATCTTATTATTAACAGCAACTTAACATTTGTACAGCATTTCCAAGTGTTCAGAACACTTCCCTTGCATTATCAAGTTGCAGCCTTGTAAAGGAAGCCAATATTATTATCTCCGAAATTGCAGATGGGGTGGTAGGACTGAGGATGAGAAAGGGTAGCTGGCCTAAGGCTACCTAAGGACAGAGGCAAAATTTGAATCAGGCCCTGTATGAATTGTAGCTCACTCTCTCAGCTGTTTCACGACACCAACTGTCATTATACCCCCCTAAAGAGCCAACTACTGAATCCCCCTTGGAAGCAGGGGGAAAGGGGGGGGGACTTTGTGTAACGCCTGCAGGAGAGGGAGTGAAGAAAGGTAAGTTTCCACCGTCTCTAACCTGGGAACGGGGTGTCAGAGACAGAAATTGCTGGAGAGGTTCATTGACTGTGAATGGACTACTTTGACAGATAGCTAAATAAGAGAAATAAACTGATTCCAATGCTGCCTTTTGCATTCTAAAGAAACAAAATATCTGAAAAATGAAAGTAATTCTCCTTTGTTGGACTTGCCTTAAAGAGATGGATACAAATAGAAATTGTCTCCTCTAGAGGGAGCTTGCTAAATTGTTGCTGCAGTCTACTTGAGGAATCCACAGCTGTGAGATTAAAATAGTGGGATTAGTCCTTTTGACCTTGCCTAAATATGAGCTGGAAGGAAGTTTTGATGCTTGCTTTATGCAAGACAAATGCTTTGTTGGAACAGGTGCACGAGAAGATGGATTTGATGAATGAGAAAATGGATTTGATGACTGTTGTGGCCAATAACTGTGGACAAATAGTGAATAGTGATATAGAAACCATCCAGGGTCCAACTCAGGAACCTGTATTGATTGGGCAAGTGCAGAAGATAATGGAGGAGGCTGCGGCTGCACCTCAAATAATACAAATGGAGAGGCCCAAGGCCCTACAGGAGCATAAGCCGCTGTTTTCGAAGATTGAAGTTGGAGTGGGCCAGGGGGAGTCTGGAGCTGAGGAGGCTCTTAACTTTGGAGAGACTTCGAAATATGCTCGTAAACATTTTTGGATTATATTGATGACTGTGGGGAGTGGGACTGTGGGGAATGGGCTGGTTTGATGAAGGGAGACGGAGATAATTTTGGGTTGGAACCCCCCAGAGACCTACTCCTCAATGAGAAAGGAAAGAAATTAAGAAAGAGACCAACAAAAGACAAGGAAAAGTGCAAGTATAAACAAGAAGAAGAAGATCTGCAGAAGGGACATGGAAGAGACTTAAGGGCCTCGGACATAAGACTTCCAGGTTGATGGACTAGATGGAATGGACAGTAAGGACTGACACGACCCGAGACCAGGAAGAAGAGACGTTGGATGAAGATTGGAAGAAAATTTATAAAGAAATTTTTTTTATTTAGGGAATTAGCCTAAAATTAATGAATAATGGGGAAAATGTTGGAATGAAACTGTATGACTCTAATAGAAATGATATCAGGAGTTATGTATAACTGAGTATTAAGTTTTAAGCTTTAAGGTATTTTATGGTAAGATAAGGTTAAATAAATTAAGGTAATTTGAATAACAGAATATGGGGAAAGATGGAAAGGATCTGTCGAGTTAATTAATAGGTTAAATTGTTAAGATAAATTATTTAATAATAATTGAGAAAGATGGAAAGAATTTGCTGAAATAACTAACTAAACTAGAATACAAAAAGGGAGGTGTGAGGAGGTCAACGAAACAAGCAAATGGAAGTTAAAGATATGTAATGTGGGATTTGTGTTTTTCCCCCCGTTTTTTTGCTGTATTGTTGTATTGGTTTTTATGTTTTGCGTTTTTTCTTCTTTTTATGCACTGTAGTGTTGTTTTTATTTCTTTTTTCCCCCCTGTAATTCTGAAATTATTAATAAATATTATTTTTTTTAAAAAAAATAAAAAATAAAGAGCCAAGTCTTCACCACATACCCCAGGGTTGGGGAACGTCTGGTCTTGGGGTACAATGCGGCCTTCTAAACCTCTCCATCTGGCCCTTGGGAGTCAAGCCAAGCCACACCTCCTCCCTGGGCCAAATGTCTTACCAGTCTTGCTCTGCACTATAATAATACAGTGGTACCTCGGTTTACGAACTTAATCCATTCTGGAAGTCCATTCTTAAACCGAAACAGTTCTTAAACCAAGGCACGCTTTCTCTAATGAGGCCTCCTGCCGCCGGTGCCCTTCCACCGTTCGAATTCCGTTCTTAGGCCGAGATAAAGTTCTCAAACCGGGACACTATTTCCAGTTTTGCGGAGTTCTTAAACCGAATCGTTCGTAAACAGGACTGTTCTTAAACCGAGGTACCATTGTATAGTGATGGAGCCTGTCAGGCTTCCCTAGGGAGAACATTCAAGAGCTTCAAGGCCACAACCAAATACATCTCTGTTCCTTGTACCATTAAACCACTGCCAGTGTTAAATCACCATCAGAAGGAGGGGGGAAAGACCACCCAGCCAAGACCACCAAGAACAGTAATAACAGCCAACATGTTGTGTTTTGTTCTGAAACTTACTTGAGAGCTGGGGACCAGAGCTTTCCACCAATGTCCTCCCTTCACAAGGTCCACATCACTCAAAGGCATCGACACTTTACCAATGACACAGTGGCGTGAAAATTTGTCAAAATCCACTGTGGTTAACAGCAGGGTCCTCCTTTCGGCTTCTAAAAACGGGATGTCAAATGTGTACCTCTCCTCAAAGACCGGGCTTTGGGTTTTGCGCTTCACTCCAGTCTGCTTGGAGTTTTTCTGGTCCGGCAAGAGGCAAATCTTCACGTAAGGATTCGAGTGGGCCATATCCTGCCTAGTGCCATCGTAGGAAATTGGGGGAGGCAGATCCCTCGCCTCAATCACCCTGACAATAAGATAATTGTGCAAGAGGTCATATTGCGTGCTAAAATGAAGCATGCCTAGCTGGTACTTGGCCAAGACTTCCTCGTCCGTCAAGGAGTCCACGTCTTCACTGTTAGAGTCAAGGGAATATAGTCTCGGCTCAAACTTCCTAAAATAGTCATCTGGAGTATAGGTTTTCCTCAGGATGGACGGTTGAACTATTTCCTTTTTGGATCCTAAAATCCCAAACTCGATAGGTTTTATGTCAATAAGTGGAGAACTTGGACGCCTCAACTCTAGACCTGCGTAACAAAGAGCAAATGGTGGGACAAGGCACTAATTCACACTGACTGCAGAGATATAGGCCCCAACTTCACTATACATTTAAAGCAATCATACCACTTTAAACAGTCATGGCTTCCCCCCAAGAATTGTGGGCAGTGTAGTTTGTTATGGGTGCTGAGAGGTGTTAGGATGCCCCTATTATTATTTGTTTGTTGCATTTATAGTCCACATTTTTCTCCAAAGAACTCAATGTGGTGTACCCAGTGCCAGTGTGGTGTAGTGGTTAAGAGCGGTAGACTCGTAATCTGGGGAACCAGGTTCGATTCCCCACTCCTCCACATGCAGCTGCTGGGTGACCTTGGGCCAGTCACACTTCTCTGAAGTCTCTCAGCCTCACTCACCTCACAGAGTGTTTGTTGTGGGGGAGGAAGGGAAAGGAGAATGTTAGCTGCTTTGAGACTCCTTCAGGTAGTGATAAAGCGGGATATCAAATCCAAACTCTTCTACTCTTCTTCTTCTTCCTCCCCCTTCTCATTTAACCTCAACTACCCTGTGAGGTGAAGGGACGCGGGTGGCGCTGTGGGTTAAACCACAGAGCCTAGGACTTGCTGATCAGAAGGTCGCGGTTCGAATCTCCGTGACGGGGTGAGCTCCCGTTGCTCGGTCCCTGCTCCTGCCAACCTAGCAGTTCAAAAGCATGTCAAAGTGCAAATAGATAAATAGGTACCGCTCCGGCGGGAAGGTAAACGGCGTTTCCGTGCGCTGCTCTGGTTTTCCAGAAGCGGCTTAGTCATGCTGGCCACATGACCCGGAAGCTGTACGCTGGCTCCCTCAGCCAATAAAGCGAGATGAGCTCCGCAACCCCAGAGTCGGCCACGACTGGACCTAATGGTCAGGGGTCCCTTTACCTTTACCCTGTGAGGTAGGTTAGGCTGAGAGGCAGTGACTGGCACAAGGTCATCCAATGAGTTTCATGGCAGGGTGGAGATTTGAACCTTGGCCTCCCAGGTCCAACATTAACCACTACAACCACATAGAGCTACAATTTCCAGAATACCCTGGGAAGAGGGATTGATTGTTAAACCGCTCTGAAGACTGCAACTCCACAAAAGGAATAGGGGTCTCCTAACTACTCTCAGCACCCTGAACAAACGACACTTCCCAGAATTCTTTGGGGGAAGCCATAGCTATTTAAAGTGGCATGATGCTGCTTTAAATGTATAGTGCAGATGGGATCCTCTCTATATAATAAAAATGTAAGTATGTCATTGCACAGCCCCTATTGGAGTAATTGTAGCGCCTCATGACAGCCCTGGATTTACATGAAGTCAACTCCTGGCCTGCCTTGGCCCATGGGATCTGGCCTCAGACCACAACAACATCATGATGGGTTGTGCTGATTGTGTTGCACCCGCCCCCAGCCCCAATGCGCCTTCCAGACACTCCCCGCTCCCCCACAGGCCACATGTACAGCCACTTTGAGAACAAGCCCTAAATAAATGCTGATATACTTGTGTAGTGCTTCTCCAAATAAAGGGGACACATCTGCATCGCCTCCTCATCTGGAAGCCTGTAATGCACTTACATTGCACACAGGGACCCCTTTATAAGGCACCCAATGAACAGAGTGGAGGGCAGCCCTGGGGGGCAGCCCCATGCCTCATGGTCTGAGGAGGTATCTCTCTCTCACACACGTCACCAAAATGCCAAAAAGGTGGGTCGTGGCAAACCTACTTGAAATTCGTCTTGTGAGGCTGTAAGTGGATCGGGATGTATCCGAAGACGACCGCCTTCTGTCCAGTGAAACGTCCTGAGGGGTTGGAGGGGGCTCGCTCGTTGTAGTGTTGTCAGAGTCGCCATCCCTGTCGTCGCTTCGATTGCTCACCCTGTCAAAATGAAACACAGTGGTACCTCGGGTTACATACGCTACAGGTTACAGACTCTGCTAACCCAGAAATAGTACCTCGGGTTAAGAACTTTGCTTCAGGATGAGAACAGAAATCGTGCGGCAGCAGCAGCAGGAGGCCCCATTAGCTAAAGTGGTGCTTCAGGTTAAGAACAGTTTCTGGTTAAGAACAGACCTCCAGAACGAATTAAGTTCTTAACCCGAGGTACCACTGTATCTTGAACTCTCTTCCAGGATGAGCACTGCATTTCCTCCCTCAATTCAATTAACCTATGAATGTGGTGTTTCAGAACTTCATTGCTATACTCTCTTATTATTTGTACCACAAGCCTGTATGGAGAGCCCTGTTTCTTAGTTTATTACTACAAATCATTTAATTGTGCACATTCATCACCATCATCAATAACATATCATGCCTCTGCCTTGCCCCTACCCCACAAAAAATCAGATCCATTTTGTCCTGTTTATGGGCATATTTTTAAAAAAGGAAAGGGCATTAAAAAATCCCCCCACTGTTACAAACAAAATGGTACTTATGAGGCACAAAAGAGTTGGCCCAAGGGCTACCTCTTTCTTATTTTTTAACTTCTTAAAGATTCTAAGATACTAATACATATTTATATCCTGGCTTGTTCTGAAGCACAGCTTCCAAATTCAAATGAATTTATGATTAATGGAAGGGTTTTTCTGTTTTGCAATTGTCCAATTTCTGAGAAATTGTTGGAAGAGTGTAAAAATGGCAACACAATCACACTCAATGCCTCTGAAATTAGACAATAATATATTTTCATTCCTCTCCGCCCCCCATTCTATTTCTCTACTACAGAGGTAGGGGAACCTACAGCCCACAGGCCAATCCTGGCCCACCAGACGCCCAAGTTGGCCCATGATGCCATTTCTCCCAAACCATGCCCACCTGTGTATCAGCTGACATCAGGGTGACATTAATTGATGGGCAGGGAGCTACACTGCAGAGTACTGCTTCGCCAACATGCTCACCACAGGGAAATGCTAGTGAAACAGACCCCTGCAGCCAGCAGGATCCTGCGGGAAATGTGCTGGTGAAGCAGACCCTTAGCTCCCTCCACCAGTCAACCTGGACATGTGGGTGGGACCTTGATGACACCATGGCACCAGATTATTGACATGTCCACTTCTAAATCCTGGCTCCAATCAGAAGACCTCCCGGTTTTTCTTTAATGTGGGCCACCAAAAAAGAAGAACCAAGCTTCAATTTCAGTTTAATCTCACCAAGTATCTTTTTTAAAATCATTTTGAACACCCATGTCACACATTTTGTAATTTGCAAAGCTGAAGAGCACCTACCGCTCTTTGGTACAATTTATCTTTTCCCAACAAAGCAGGAAAGCAAATATTAGAGAGGAAATGACAGGAAGGTGTTGCTGCCATGTGTGCTAAGTCAACATAATTAGATTAGTTGTAGCAAGACAGCCAAGTTGCCAGCTCTGTATGGTACAGTAAGAACATCATTATTCTCCGGTCTTAAATGTTGGAGATGAAATTATTTCTAGAGTTCTGTTCCAACTCTGGAGTCCCCATGCATTAATAGACTGGTAAAACAATGAAGGCTTGTTAGCTGAGAGCACAAGTTACCTTGCTCGCTAAAGGTTTTGGAAAATAAATAGCTTTTGTAGACAAACAAAGAAGGTTGGGTTGTCACTACATGAGGGCCAGGAACCTTTTTCACCTGAAGGGGCACAAACCAGAGGGGAGTGGTGCCAGTAAAAGAAATGGAGACAGTATTGACTCTTGTCTTTGTTTAGCAGGTTACAGTCCAGTCATGGTTTTTATATGTCAGGGTTTTTATACTCTGTATCTCCTGTTTCTACCCTAAAGTTCACCTGTCTCACCTCCAATGACACCAGCAGTAGGAAAGGTGTAGGTGCACTGATTTTAACCAAATTTTGCATAATGGTTCCTGAGGATCAAGGAGTAGGTTTGGATCTATGTTTGGACACAACTGGAAGCCATTTTGAATCAAGATGGTGGACTGAACTTTTCAAAACCACACTGATTTGGAGGGGGTTCTTATAATTCCTGAGCAACACTAGGTGTGAGACTCTTACTGTAGTATACATAAGAAATTTAGTAAGAGAATACAAATATAAAATTCATCCAAAGGAGGGTAGGAATAACCAAAACACCACGGGATATCCAACACTTCACACACGTTAATGGAGGTGACCTCTACTTGACTGAAAAGAAGCATCTCCACAAAGACAAGGCAGGGGTGGGCTAATCTGTAAATTTTGATTTCTCTCAGTTCTTCATTTTTCCAATCTTAAAGTCAGTTTTCCACATCAGTTTGCAATTTACTTTTTTTAAGCCCTTATGAAAACTCATCAACAATTTAGTGCAAATTAGTCCTAATATACACATTTTTGCAAAGCGGCTTTCCCTAATGATAATGCATTTTTCTATGTTATTTTCATTAATACATACATTTCTATGCACACTTTCCCTCAGCAGATGCATTTTCGTACAGATTACTTGGCTGGAGAACCGCATTGCAAAATTCAGAGAGAATTTCAAAGGATGGCTGTGTTCTGGTCTGCATATTGTTATGGGAAATCCAAATCAGGTAGCTCACCTTTAAACGTGAATTGAATCAAATGTCTCTCACAACCTTAACACAGGGCCAAAATACAGCTTTGCATTTAACACGCATATTGTTGTTTTTCTTTTTTGAAAAAATGCAAATTGTCAGTGCCTGTTAGAAACAAGCAACCAATCCAGATGGGAAGGGATCTTTGTAAAAGCCGAAGTGAAAGGGGAACAAGCAGGATCCTAAAAGCAGAATCCAGACTTACAACCAGGAAGGCGTCTGTGCTGGAAAAGGCCCCAGGATTTCCACTTCGTCATCGCTCGACTGGCAACAGCTGCAGTCATAACACTTCTGGCAACAGTTCCGGCAAGTCCATCTGCACAGCAAGAGATCCGAGATTCTAGACAACAGGCCCTGAGGCCGTTGGAAACCAGATAGCAAAAATTACAACCAGTTGGTGGCTGGCAAGCATAAACACTCAGTTGTAATTGAGGTGCAGGGCTTGGATTTCAGCTGGGTGTGCCTGTGTGTTGTTTCTGCTGCTTTTCTTTCCTGCAGCGGACCTGGAATTAATGCCTTCCTATGTAAATGTCTGTAGGGGGGAGCCTTTTCCACATATAAACTCCCTTTTGAAGACCTTCTTTAATTTGGGGGGTGGGGCAGCTCAGTGGCAGAGCAGAAGGTCCCAGGTCCAATCCCTGGCATCTACAGGTAGGGCTGGCAGAGACCTCTGCCAGTAATCCCGGAGAGCTGCTGCCAGCCAGTGTAGACACTACTGAACTAGGTGGACCAACAGTCTGTATAAGGCAGCTTCCTATGTTTACTCCATTGATGTGAAAGAAGTGCAAGTTACTTATCTAAGGGTTTTTTTTTTAACCACCTTTGGCTTTTCCAACCAACCACTGAAATCAATAGTTATAAGTTAATTTCCTGTCCATTCATTTCAATTGAAATACTCTGATTAGGGTAATACTAGACACAGCCCACAGTCCCAACTTAAGATATAAACAAGAATAGTGTGACCATGTGTCCTATTTTGCAGAGGATATTCCTCTATTTTTAAGGGCTGTCAAAAGGCAGTGTTCTATATGTAGCCATTTCTATTTGGTTGAAAGGAATGGGGGTCCATGCATATTTTTTTGAGTGTCATTGTTCAATACATTCCACAAATACTATAAAAGGAAAAAGCAAAGCCATGCAACATATGCTATCAAATCCATAAGTGAATTTGAGAACGTCAAATTCTTGTCACATATTCACACATCAGTAACCAAAATGAACATTTCCTTTTGCATATTTTCACCACAAGTTTAAATGGCTTCATGTCAGTTCTAAATTCTGTACTTCAGTTAAGCTCTAACTGAATTGAGTATCTTACTCTATATTTATATATTTCTATTTATGACTCCACTGCTTAGGTAGGCAGGTTTTATCCTTAATTAAAAGAAAAGAGTACTGTTAATCTCTCCCGTTAGGAACATTCTTATGTCTGAGTAGAGCAATTCAAATCATACAGAACATCCATTTGTGGAAACAACAACTTTGTACTGCAACTGTCTCAGCTTCTAATTCTCCCCCACTCACAGCTAGTTTGTCTCTTATTTCTTTTGTCCTTATAAAGTGTGTTAATTTCACCATTATAACAAGCTCACAGCACTCATGAATCCTAATGGAGACCTGTTCCTATGCACCATGAAAAAATCCCAAAGTTTAGATTATTTTATGTAAGTCCATTTCAGTGAACCTGCTCTGAGGATGACTATCAGATGTCACCCCATCAAAATCATTTAATCATAATATTTGAAGGGACCATCTAGTTCAACTCCCTGCAATGCAGAAACGAACTAATCAAATCAGTATAAGACACATAAGATGCTTTATTCTGAACTCAACAGAATGAATTTGGGGGTTGTTGTGTTTTGTTTTACAATTAACCATAAGAACCTACGAAGACTTTGCTGGATCAGGCCAATGGCCCATCTAGTCCAGCATTCTGATCTCACAGTGGCCAGCCAGATGTCACCATTGGAAGCCCTCAAGCAGGACCTGAGTACATCAGCCCTCTCCCCGTATATATCTGGGGGAATCAATTTGGGGGAACAGAACAAGTATGGGTAAGTGGCAAGGAGGCACACACTTTTAGGAGAACAGAGTTGCAAGCCAGGGATGAAGAACCTGCAGTCTTTCAGACATTGCTGGTCTCCCATCGTTCCTGACTGGCTGGTGCTGATGAGAGCTGGAGTCCAACAACATCTAAAGGCCATGGGCTCCTCAACGCTGATACAGACGATGAGGTCCTGCAATGAAACCGTGCAAAGTGGAGTAGATGGTTTGCACACAAAGGGACCTGGTTCAATTGCTGGCAACTGCAGTTAAACGTAACTGCATGCAACTTGGCTGGGGCTGATGGGAGTTGGAGTCCAACAACATCTGGAGGGCACAAACTTCCCCATCCCTGCTATAAGCCACGCAGGAGAAGCAAATATCCATGGGCGTGTCCCATTTTCTGCTATTATGGAGGAATGAATGCTCTTCAGACAGAAAGAGCCAGACAGATAGGAAGCTGACATACAAACTCCATCAAACCTTCTCTCCCTCGGTTGTCACCTGGGAGCAGGCTGCTTCAATGGGAGAGCTGGGATATAAGGCTCACTCCATCAGCTCTGCTGTGACAGACCAGCACCATCAGGACTCTCCTACGCCAAACTACACTAGCTGGTCATTATGTGAACAACTATTTAAGAACAGGTACAGTGCCTGAGATTGATTTTTTTCCTCTTCCTTCCCTGCCCTCTTTCCTTGTGTGTTGTTGTTTTTAGGCTGTAAACCTGAGGACAGGGACTGTCTTAACTGATTGTATGTAAGCCACTCTGGAAGACTTTTTGACTGAAGAGTGGGGTTCAAATGTTCTAAATAAAATAAAAATTATTCTCTATTTATGGAAAGATTTCTAGTCAACAAATTCTAGAGTGCACAGCGGTGTTTATGTGCACTAGAGATATCACAAGCACACTGAAACATGTGACAATTAACTTTAAAAGTATGAGGGCTATAACTGTGCTTTTTAAAGTGAAGATTCCCATGCAATCCAGATTTGGAATCTAGTACCAGATACTGCATGGAACATCTGCACCCAAAGTGACTGAAATCAGCCTGCCACATAATCAGCAAAGGCAATTCACATTTTGCACTAGAAAAGGAAACTAAGGAAAAAGAATGTGCCCTACAGAAATCAAGATGCACTTTGCCAAGGAAGAGATTTTGCAAGCCAGAAACCAAAGACAGACAAAGCAAACGAGAAGATGAAAAAGCACAACCATCTCCCTCTGCCTGGGGAGAGGCAAGAGAAGGCAGAATGAGTCACCAGATTAACTCACCTCATTTATTGGTTCCAACTGTCCTTTTAGATATCCATGATGAAGCAAGGGGGAAGAAAATGAAACAGACAAGACCAGTTTAGCAAAGCTCTAATGATCCCCAAATACCTGCCCTCCCTGCTTGGTGCCATGGCTTTGATTTCTAGAAAAATGATACTATTTTCAGCTCTTATTGTCCTACATATTTTACTGAAGTTGAAAAGGATCTCCGGGGGAAATCAATTTATTCTGTGCACTTTCCCTACCAAGCTGCTATTTCTGTTTCCTTCTGAAAGAGCTCACCTGATCCCAAATTTCCCCCTGGGTAGTCAGCCCTGGCTTTGACCAGGCCCCCACAAAGTGAATGTGCTTAAGGCTTTGTTCTCCTGGGTTCTAAGACTACAATCCTTACCTGCTTTGTACTTGTTCAACACAGGCTTTCTCCAAACTGGTGCCCTCGGGTATGCAACTCCCTTCATACCCAACTATGGACCATGCTGAGCGGGACTGATGGGTGTTGGAGTTCCAGATACAGTAGGAGGCCGTCAAGCTCCCCAACTCTGATCTTTAGGCACTGCACCACATACTGGTTCTCACGGCTGCAATCAGGTTGCCAATCGTGCTATTCAAATGCCTAATTATTGAATGCCTATTTGTTATTTAATGCCAGAACACCAGTCACGTTATTTGTAAATGCAGAATGTGTGCTGTTTGGTTGATTTTCATTTGCAATGATTTTATTTCCCAATGTTTAGACAGGATACTTTGTTCAGCGACCTCTGCCTCGATAAGAGCAAAGGGATGGAGTGAGAAGCAGAAATGATGTACCTCAGCACAGAAAATGGGCCATGCCTCTAATTGCATCGTCCGTGCATCTAACCCATGTACGTCACACAAATTTATGGCCGATGCACAGAAACATTTTGCATGCACACACGTTTTTGTGGCTTAACTGTGGGTGTGTCTAAACCCATCACCTGATCAGATCCTGATGAGCACAATATCATATACCCAAGCATGTCTTCTTAATTTCGGATGAATGCTGGCATTGTGTGTGTGTGTTTTTAATAAAAAAAAAGTATTGCAAGTAATTTGATGCATGACTCATGATGCGATAAAATTTGATCCATGGATGGTTCTGCTGAATTATTTCCAAGACTTTGCTCAACCTGCACAGAGGCTGCTTACTGAAAATTTAATTCTTGATGGAAAGGCAATTTCAGCCATGCACTGAAAACTCCTATTGATCCCAGAAGAGCAGCAGAAGGTCTACTACGGAGCAAACATTGAAAAAAACATACAGCAGTATAACAGTGTCTTCACTCAGGAATCTCACCATACCAACCAAACCATGGTTTTATCGCAAAACATAGCTAGAAACCATGGTTTGTGCTGCATTTCTTTCTCTTGCTTGCCTCCCCCAGGAGTCCCTGGATATTATCCAACAATTGCTCTGCCTTAACTTACTCGGAACAGTGGTGAAGCTCATGCTTTCCATGCAGAAGGTTCGAGGATCAATCCTCGGCATTTCCAGGAAGCTGCCTTATACCAAAATGAGACCACCGGTCTCTCTAGATTAGCATTGCCTACACTGGTTGGCAGCAGCTCTCCAAAATTTCAGCCAGGGATCTTTCCCAGGGCTTCCTGGAGTTGCCAGGGATTGGCCTGGAGACCTGCTGCTCTACCACTGAGCTACAGCCTCTCTCCTCTGGTACCTGTGGAAACCTGAAACGGTACAAACCAATCTACCACCTCAAGGCTTCACAACCTTATTTCACTAGGTGTGTAGCTTTGAGCTCCTGCTGGTCTTGCCACCAGCTTCACCAATTGTGCTGGGTGTGCAAAACAGAGGCCCTGCATATTTTCTTACATCTGGTGGGGAAAACCAGGGATTTTTTTCAGCCAGAGCTCACCAGAACTCATTTCCGGTGCCTCTCAGGTGGGCTCCTCTGCAACATTTGGCATCCAGCTTATATATCAGAGTTTCTAACACTGCCCCTAAGGGAAGCCTGCAAGCAGAAACTGAGCACAACAGTCCTTGCGTTACTTATTATTCCCAGTAACTGGCATTCAGCGGCTCTGAAGTTCTCTCAAATGGATGCTGCCTGGAGAACCTAGTCTGGAGACAGAAGGACAAAAGCCCTTCATCTGCTCCCAGCCTTTGTCAAACATGTTGCTCAAATGGAGCTGTCCATGGTCCAGCCACCTTTGACCAGTCCTGCCTGCTGCTTTCCCCATGCCTTCTGGCATCAAACCAGAACATGGCACACAGCTCCATCAAGTACCGCAAAACAATGTTCCGTTCTAGATCATTATGTACCCTATACAGTATAATGGAAGTTCAAATGCTGTGGCTCCATCAAGTCCCATAAAACAAAACCAGGCTACATCTCCAAAGACATCTTCTTTGAGCACTTAACACGTTCTTGAGTATGTCAGGAAAGCCAAATCCATCATGAAGCACTTTGGAAGCTCTGCGGGTGACACACAGCGGCCCCAATAACAACATTGGGCCATTCTAGCATAGAGGTTAGAGCACTGGGATAGAAGCAGGAAGTATTGGCTTCAAATCGCTGCTCAGCTAGCAAACCCACTGCTGGGCTGGTCACATTGCCCTGGCCTCACTCACCTCATGGGGTTGCTGTGAGAATACAGGGGAAGACTGCCTGCATGATGCTCCCCTCTAGGATCCTTGGATAAACATGCAACTAATAAACACGTGGGCAATTAATAAATAATAAATTTTGTGGTACATGTTGTTGTTTAGTCGTGTCCGACTCTTTGTGACCCCATGGACCAGAGCACGCCAGGAACTCCTGTCTTCCACTGCCTCCCGCAGTTTGGTCAGACTCATGTTTGTAGCTTCGAAGACACTATCCAACCATCTCGTCCTCTGTCGTCCCCTTCTCCTTGTGCCCTCAATCGTTCCCAGCATCAGGGTCTTTTCCAGGGAGTCTTCTCTTCTCATGAGGTGGCCAAAGTATTGGAGCTTCAGCTTCACGATTTGTCCTTCCAGTGAGCACTCAGGGCTTATTTCCTTCAGAATGGATAGGTTTGATCTTCTTGCAGTCCATGGGACTCTCAAGAGTCTCCTCCAGCACCATAATTCAAAAGCATCAATTCTTCGGCGATCAGCCTTCTTTACAGTCCAGCTCTCACTTCCATACAGGACCATAAAGAAGGCTGATTGCTGAAGATGCTTTTGTGGTACATATATGCACCCAAAATGTCCTCACAGTTAAATCCTAGGCTTATCTCCAGTTACAGTAGGGAGGAATAACCAGTGTAAATTATACCTTTGTACGGTAGGTCAGTTTACAGACACACCTCCCCATCGCCCATCCATCAGAGTTCAATGGCACAAGCAAAAACACAATGGGTGCAAAACAGGAAAGGATGTGGCCAGCGGAGATCTCTGAGGGCCAGACGGGGAGGTCTGGGGCGGCCACACTCACTGCTTTGGCCTGAGGTTCCCCAGCCCTGATCTAATCTACTGTGGCACAGCACCTGTTTTCCATGCTGATGATCCACACGCTCAATCCCTGGCGTTACCAGGTAGTGCTAGCAGAGACTCCCGTGGAGAGCTACTGCCAGTCAGTGTAGACAATATTGAGCTGGATAGACAAAGGGCCCAAGGAGGAGGTGAGAAGGCAGCAGCCCTCTCCCGCTTGTTGCTATCCATCTGATGGCATTCAGTACCACGCTGCCTCTGCATCTAAAGGACAGATTCAGTATCCCCTTGGGGTGGCATCAGTGATTCATCTATTGAAACTAGTGTGGGTTTAGGGCATGCAGAGTAGGCTGTAAATGTCACAGAATAAATATATAGCCTCAGATGTACAACAGTTAATTGGGTGGGGAGAGAGAGGAGGCTTGGGGAAAGTCCACAGGTCGGTATTAAGAGTATCTGCTTTGGACCCAGGTTCCAGTCCAGTCCAGGAAGAGCTGTCTAAAACCTTGCAGAGTTGCTGCAAGTCCGTGTAGGAAACACTGAGACAGGTGAGCCAACAGTGTGGCATAAGGCAGACATCTATGTTCCTATGCCAGAGTCTACCTTCCCTGCACCATTTGCAAGAAAAAGAAAATATTCCAAAGATGTCAGAAATGGTTGTGGTTCGGAATTTTCTGCACATGCTCAGGACTACTTTGTTTTAACTGCATGCACATGAACCTTCACACTCAAAATCATCTTTGGCACAATCTGCTAGTTTCTACACCACCCTGCGTAGGTATCCATTATGGTGTCAAGCGTTGTTGGACTACAGTTCCCAAAATCCCTAGCCACTGGCCATGCAGGCTCATGGGCACTGGCAGTCCAACAGCACCAGGCAAGCATCATGTTGGTTCCCCCTGTGCCTGCAACACCTAATCCTATAATTAAGCCTAAACTGTCTGTGGGGAGGGCCACAGCTCAGTGGCAGAGGATATGCCTTGCAAGCAGAGGGTCCCAGGTTCAATCCTTGGCTTCTCCAGGTAGTGCTGGGAACGTCCCCTGTCAGAAATCCTGCAGAGCTGCTGCCAGTCAGTGTAGACAGTATTGAGCTAGATGGACCAACAGCCTACACTCAGTATAAGACAACTTTCCCTTTTCCTACAAACTGCTTCCCAGAGGAGATTTGACAGGCCCCCTCCCTGTTGGCTTTCCAAGTGCTTAGAAATGACCTTTATTTACCATTTCATAGAAACATAGAAACAGAACTGTAGAGTTGGAATGGACCACAAGGGTCATCTGGGCCAAACCCCTGCAATGCAGGAATCTTTCACCCAACGTGGGTCTCGAACCCACAACCCTGAGATTAAGAGTCTCGTGCTCTACTAACTGAGCTATCCCACTAGGCATTTTAAGAAATTCTTCTGGTTTTATAATTAATTTTAACTGATTTCAGCTTCATTGTACCGTTTTCCACCTCACTTTACAGTGCTTAAAGAGACTGAGGTGTTAAGCAGTATAAAAGGTAAAGGGACCCCTGACCATTAGGTCCAGTCGTGGCTGACTCTGGGGTTGTGGAGCTCATCTCACTTATTGGCCGAGGGAGGCAGCGTACAGCTTCCGGGTCATGTGGCCATCATGACTAAGCCGCTTCTGGCGAGCCAGAGCAGCGCACAGAAACAGCATTTACCTTCCTGCTGGAGCAGTACCTATTTATCTACTTGCACTTTGACGTGCTTTGGAACTGCTAGGTTGGCAGGAGCAGGGACTGAGAAATGGGAGCTCACCCCGTCGTGGGGATTCAAACCGCCGACCTTCTGACTGGCAAGCCCTAGGCTCTGTGGTTTAACCCACAGCGCCACCCGCGTCCCGTTAAGCAGTATAGGAGTTGTTAAAATAAATAAATAAAACACATGCAAAATGATACATCTGCATATTGCCTTCTGCTTTGCCACTGCCTCCCCTTCACCTGTTGCTGCTTCCTCTGCTGAATTTCAGGTTGCAATCTCCTTGGGACAGAGAACTGCGCCTCTGGTACTCCATAAAGCACCTTGCCTTACGATAGCGTCATCTAAATAAATCTTCTAGGGAAGAAAAGGGGACCCTGTGATCCTTCAGATGTTGCTGACAAAGGGTCATAGCTCAGTGACAGAACACCTGCTTTGTATGCAGAAGGTCCCAGGTTCAATCCCCGGCATCTCCAGAGGATGGGCTGACAGATGACCCAGCCTGAAATACTGGAGAGCTGCTGCTAGTCTGTGTAGGCATTACTGAGCTGTGTGGACCAACAGTCTGCCTCAGCATAAGGCAGCATCCTATGGGACTCCAATCTCCATCAGCCCCAGGCAGTGGTCAGGGATTGTGGGAGTTGGAGTCCAGCAACATCTGGAGGGCCACAGGTTTTCTGTCCCTTTTGTAGGGATTGAATGCTGGCTCAATGCAAAGCCACAGTGTGGCCTGGTGTTTAGCAAGTCTGAAAAGGTTGATCTGAGGTTTGAGCAACTCAGACCCGGCGTTTTCAGAGGAGAGCAGTCTGCTACCAAGCTTAGCTACCACAGAGAAGGCAAATAAACCATGAGAGGAAGAACAGAACAGCCCTGCTGGACCAAGTCAGAGGCCCACCTAGTTCATCATCCTGTCCTCACAGTGGCCAACCAGATGCTTCCAGGAACCCCATAAGCAGAACCTGAACTCAACAGCCCTCTCCCCACCAGTGAGTCCCTTGTACCAACTCAAGGTGACCTAAATCACCAGTGTGCACAGCGTGATCCAAAGGAATGGAAAGACCTGCCAATTTTGGCTCTCCCAATTTCTCATTCTTTTCCCCAATTTTAAATTCAGCTCTTCACATTTTGCAAAAATTTACACTTGGGAAAAGAAGTCCTCGTGAAAACCCACCAGCAGTTTAGGTTCAAATTTCCCCCAATAAACACATCTTTATATGCAGTTTCGACTCGTGCACACATTTCTGCAAGCACTTTCCCAATATAATGCATTCTTTTATGTTATTTTTACCAGTACTGTCTACATATTCATTTATATCTTCACATTCCCCAAATAAATCCATTTCTGGACACATGGCTTGGTGAGGAAAGTGCATTGCAAAATGTGGATAAGTGCAAATTCTGAAGGATACCTGTGTTTCGGTTTGCATATTGTTTTGGAAAGTGTCACTCTGATAGACTGACCTTTATATGTCAATTGAAATGAATTTCTCTCTGGCGCTTTCACTACCTATCTTTAGGTATCAGGTGAATACATTTCTCTATAACGAGGCCATTGGCAGGTTAAACATTCTATGGCCTTTCAAATGATTTGGAGGGATAGGAGTTATTGGTTGGTTTGGTTTTTTGTGTATTTCATGTTCTAATTCTGTATTTATTTTGTTGTGAACTGCCCTGAGATCGTCAAGTGAAGGGCAGCATACAAATTTAATAAATAATAATAATAACAGCTCAGTGGGAGAGCATCTGCTTTGCATGCATAACATCACAGATTCATTCCCCGGCATAGTCAGGTAAGACTGGGCATTACCCTTGTCTGAAACCCAGCAGAGCCTCTGCCAGTTAGTGTAGCTGATACTGAGATCCGGAGCAAGGAACTTTTGACCCTCCAGATGTTGCTGAACTACAGCTCTCATCAGCCCCAGCAAGCATGACCAATGGTCAGGGGTGGTGCAGGTTCAGCAACAGCTGGAAGGGGGGTTAAATGTTCCCCACACCTGACATATCACATTGGTATAAGGCAGGTTCAGAGATGGATTTGGTCCACATGACCGGTTCCACCACAAGGGGAACCGAGCCTAGGGGGCGCCACAGAGCATCACAACTATGACACAGTGAATTGAGGAGGACGGAAGGTGAGAGGCGGGGCACCACAGAATTTTGGCCTCACATAGGATACCGCTAAAATTGGAAAGTCTGCCTTGGAAGAAAGGCTAGCTAATTAATAAATGCTTTCCTTAGTGAATTGAATGCTCACAATAAAATCAATCAGAAGAATTGGGGATGTCTTTCTTAAAATGTCTGAGGACCCTTTGCCCTCCTTGCAGACAGCTCCTGCTTGATAGTGTTTTCACCACCTTTCCGCTGCAGAATCCAGCAACTTCATCCATGCACCCCAGCAGTGAGTTTGACAGATGGACATCCAACCTCTGCTTAAAAGCTTTCAAGGAAGGAAAGACCACCTTTTAATACTGTTTTGTTTAATGGTAACCTTAAGCGTCCCTTAAAAGGAGGGGAAATGCAGTGTTGCCATCACATAGTCTGCAGCAGGAGTACCAGTTTGGCCCCATGGCCGTGGGTGCCTGGGGCCATGGGTGCCATGCAGCATGCATAGCCCTGGCACCCAAATTTGCGGCTGCCCGGCTCCTTCATGGAGAATTTTGTGGGTGCTCGGGCACCCAGGGCCTCAGGGAATTGACGCCTATGGCCTGCAGTCAAAAATTCTGGACTGTCACAGCAAAGCGAAATCCAAAAGGAGTTTTCACACACAAATAGGATTCACCTGCTTTACTCCAGAGCCCCGAGTGCAAATTCTGTTCTATTTACATTTCTCTCTCACACCTTCTCCTTCAGTTGCAGGTTTCCACAGCGTACATGCAAGTCGTCACACAACCACATCTCTGGGAGGAGAGGAGGGAAGCCTCATGGAGCACCCAGAATCACTAATACACACGTAACAAGTATTTTTACAAAAACCACCTATCCACATGTCATTATTTATATGCACACATATTGAAAGACCCACGGGGTAGCAGCCATGTACACATTTTAAAGTCATGCACAATACATATATATAAATGTCTGTCTCTCTCACACACACTTTCAGCATGATTTGAGAGACCTATTTCTCACCAAACCCCATTTTTGCACGCAATCATTCCATTAACTTTGAGCAGCATCTCAGGGACTCATTTCCCACCTCCCTCATAAAAAAAACACCCTTGTTTTCCCCCCATGGAGCTCTTCCATTAACCTCCAAGTGCTTCTCCCAAACGCCAGCAAAAAACAACGGCTTTTATTTTCCTACTCTGACGATTGCTAGTCAATAAAATTGAAAGGAGGAAGGGAGGGCAAGGCAGAATAAAATTACAGCCAGCTACTTTAAAAAAAGAAATGTATGCTACAGGTTGCAATTTCTTCCAGCAAAGTCAGCAACTCGAAAACTCACAACTCGAGTCGCTCAAGTTTCAGAGTAATGGGGGATCCTCCCTTTTGCCAGGTAGCAACTAAGGAGAAAACCTCGACAGCTTTTTTTGTATTAGGGTTTTTGCCATTGTTTTAGTTCTGTTCCTTGCAAGCAAAGGCTGCCCTCCCTCTGCCTCTCCCCACACCGCAACCTCGGGGTCTGCAGCCACCGCCACCCCCAATAATCTCTCTCTCTCCCCACTGGTGCTGCTCAGACCTACCTGTATATACGCCATCTTCCTCGGGTCTCTCACATTAGTCCCTGCACAGGCTGTGCATGGCGTCTGCCCTCAACAATAGAACACAGACGTGCCTGGCTTGCTCAATGAGGACTGTTTGATTGACCATGCCGGCTCCCAACACCAACTCGTTGCTTTTGCTCCTTTTGCATTGGCTTAACTGGGGGTTGCATGAACTGGATTCCCAGAGGGCTGGCTGGAAGAACGGGTGGTCACTCTGCACCTCCTTCGCCGGATGCTTTAATTCAGAAATCTTTTATATCTATCTCCTTTAACAAGCCACCTTCTAGGCATGGTCAGCAATCTGCCTCCCAGCCTTCTGCCACACCCCTCCCGGGGGGGGGGAACCTCTTGATCCCCCGACCTCTCCAGCCAAGGGGGAGGGGAATGACCTTTACAGGCGAGAAGCGGGGAAGGGCAAACGAAGAGAGTGGGCGGCTTCTCTCCCTTGCCTGCAGCGTGCAACACGTGCAGCGTTAAACAGCGGAGGAGAGCAGCCGAAAGAGGAATTCTCTGCAAGGATGGTGAATTTTAATACTGTATATAATATATATATTGCACTCGCCGCTAGGGGGAGCGAGAGAACCGCACGCGCGGCTGGAGCATCAGGCGCTGAACTGAAACAGCGGGTGTGACCCAGTCATTTCTATAGGGCAGCCTTCTCCAGACCAATACATCTCACCAGGTTGCTATAGGCTGGTATATGGAAGTTTTTTTGTTTTTGTTTTTTTAAAAAGAAGACATAATATAGGGAATAAAAATATTTTAAATCCCAGAATTCAATCTGAAGCATCGTTGAGCCCACCAAGAAATGGATTTCATTATTTAAAGGGGCTAGTGCACAAGAGATTTCTCATACTGTTTAACCAAAATACCCTCCCCTATAACTTAAGTTCATTAAATCTTGTTCTGCACCCAGTTGTTGCTGAAGGTGGGGTGGAGGACAGCAGTGAAGAAAGGTGCGTCCAGACCATTGCTATTTTGGAGTGATATTCAGTATGTGTTACTATTAGTATATAAAGCGGGGGATCAGTAAGACTTGTGTGAGCCCCTTACTCCTTATATGACCGCTCAACCATTTCGATCTGTGGAATAATACTCATTCCACGCTTGTCAGAAATCGTTTTTTCAGTGCGGCAGCTCCTAACCTTTGGAACTCCCTGCCTATTGACCTTGCCACCACAGTCCTCTTTACAGTGCTTGCTAAAAACATTCTTGCTTAGACACTGCTACCAATATGTTTTCAGCACCTGCTTAAAACATTTCTTTGTTTAAGCAAGCCTATGTAGACATATAGACATTGCATATGTTCTATCTCTGTTTAACTATTGTTGATTTTAATAACCTTTCGAATATTTTTAAATACCTGGGTGGGTTGTTTTTTACAGTTGTCAGTACAATCAAACAGTAAATTGGGCTGGATCTGGCCCAATCACCTTCTAAATCCGGCCCACAGACAGTCTGGGAACCAGTGTTTTTTTACATTAGTACAATGTGTCCTTTTATTTAAAATGCATCTCTGGGTTATTTGTGGGGCATAGGAATTTGTTCATTCCCCCCCAAAAAATATAGTCCGGCCCCCACAAGATCTGAGGGACAGTGGACCGGCCCCCTGCTGAAAAAGTTTGCTGACCCCTGAGCTAGTTTCTAAACACATAACCACCACACCACACCCCTCTCTATCCTCCATCCAGACAAGTAAGATTGATGCATTATTGGAGTTGAAGAAGACATTTCAGCCAGGGTGGAAAACCCACTTGGGGTGCAAAGTGGGGCAAGTAAGGGGATGTGGCTTGGGGAGAATTTTGAGGGCCAGATAGAGAGAGGCCTTGGGGGCTGTATTTGGGGCCCCAGGCCATGGAAGTCAGAAATTTTTGCTCCAGGGTTGGGAGCAAACAACTTTCTCACAAAAACATAAGAAGAATAGTGCCTGTACATTTTTGCCTCATATCTCAGGTTCCACGAATGCTAGATACTTGCTCTGTTTTTAAAATGAAAGCTGAGAATCTGGAGTTTACTGGGGTTTATCGGGGCTGGCGGGGGCAACTACCATTCCCTGTGGACTGATGCCCCAGGTCTGAGGCTCCCCACCGGTGCTTTAGAGCAGAGGTTCCCAAGCTTTTTTCAACCACTACCCCCTTGGTACATCCCCAGTGCCGCCTAACCTATTAAAATATATATATTCAGAATAATGGTTTGCATGGCCCACTAAGGAAGGTAATCACACAATAAAATTCAAAACTGCAACAATTACCGTATTTTTCCATGTATAAGACTAGGTTTTTTCCCTAAAAAATAATGTCAAAAATTAGGGGGGCGTCTTATACTCTGGTCCATCTCCCCCCATTTTCTTAAATCGAGTCCCCCAAAATAGGGGGCGTCTTATACATGGGGGCGTCTTATAAATGGGAAAATACGGTAATTGCACATTCATTCAACATCCAGTTAAAACTATTAAGTTTAATTCAACAGAACTGATGCACTTGACACAGTGATACCAGCTTTTCAAAGTATGAAAGACTTTTACATCTCCCCCACCTCTCCCTTGCCTTTTAGCACCCCCAGATAATCCCATCACCCCCAGGGGGCAGTCCTACCCACTTTGAGAACCACTGCTTTGGAGCAAAGCAGATGGGACACAGAGAGGTGCTATAGCTCTAGGCCTCCCTTATCGCTCTTTTACCCCCTTTAACTATCTCAACTTGTCTATGACAACAATGTCATAACTATATGGGATAGCTCAGTTAGTAGAGCATGAGACTTTTAATCTCAGGGTTGTGAGTTCGAGCCCCACCTTGAGCAAAAGATTCCCTCATTGCAGGGGGTTGGACTAGATGACCCCTATGATCCCTTCCAACTCTACAATTCTATGATACCGAATGTAAATGAACCGTGAAAAAGACTCAATGAATTGAACATGGGGGAGCTATATGTACTTTTCCTTGTTTGTTTGTTTTGTAACACAAGAAAATCTTTAATAAAAAACTAATTAAAACAAAACAAAACTATAAACTGAAAGAATGATAGGCAGAGCAATCCTACACCCACTTATCCAGTAGTAAGCCCCATTGAACTCAGTGGAACTTACTTCTGAGTAGACAGAACGGCACTGCAGTTGGTAAATGCCCTTCATATGTTGCTGGACTCCCAACTTCCATCAGTAATAGGCAGCACAGCCAATGGTCAGGGATGATGGGTGTTGGGGTCCAGTAATACCCCATGGGCCACAGGCTCCCCTTCCCTGCCATGGTACTTGGCCCACTTCTGCAGCCAGATTCTTTAAAGCAAGAAAAAGTGTGTGCAGTCTAATTAAAACAATATTCATTGCTTCTGTAATTTACAGTGGTACCTTGGTTTGCATACGTTTTGGATTATAAACACATCAAACTCGGAAGTGCATGTCCCGGTTTGCAACCTTTTTTGGGATTACAACCCATTTTTTTTTTTATTATGAACAAATTTTTTGGGGAGGACCCATTGGCGAAAGCCCACCTTGGGTTACAACCTGTTTTGGTTTACAAACAGACCTCCAGAACAGATTATGGTTCTAAACCAAGGTACCACTGTATTTAATTACTTAGAACATTTCTACATGGTTCTCCCCCACCCCCTGCCACCATCTGAGCAGCTCTCCAAAGCTGTTTGCATAGGATGTCAACAGACAGCAGCGACAACGCCATCAAACAACAACTCAGGAAATTTATTAAAGGGATCCGATTATTATGACACTGAGACCTTGCTAGGCCAGAGAAGCACAGGCTCAGTCGCGATCCTATGCAGATCTAACTCAATAGTAAGTCCTAATGATTTCGGTAGGGCTTCCTTCAGGGAAACAGGCTGTTGAGAATCTGACTGTGGGAATCCTTTGGAGATGGCACGGTGCCAAGTCAGAGTGCTGGTCCATCTATCTTGGCACTGTCTCTAATGATTGGCAGCAGCTGTCCAGCATTTTAGACTAGAGCCCTTCTCAGATCTACCTGGATGTGCCAGGTGTTGAACGCGGGACCTTATGAATTCAAGGCCAGTGTGAAATCAATGCCAGTAGTTTTCAGAGACTGCCTCTAGCAAAACCCATGTTTTCCACGAACCCAGGAAAAGGGTTTAATCTGAGTCAGGAGACCACAAGCTTCAGCCACACAAATATTGCCTCTGCCAGGCAGATATTTTTAGGGAGAAAAGAGCCCGGCGGCTTGGGGATTATGACTAACAATCAAGAGTGGCAATACAAAGACAGACAACGGAACAACAGCATTTTGAAGCTGCCTTGTATTGAGTCACTGGTCCAATCTAGCTCAGTAGTGTCGGCACGGACTGGCAGCTGCTCTCCAGGATTTCTGGGAGAGGTTTCTCTCTGAGCCCTACCTGGCAATGCTGAGGATTGAACCTGAGACCTTCTGCATGCAAGGCAGATGTTCCACCACTGAGCTACTGCCCTGACTCCCGAAGCTTGTCTCCCTCCCTGTAAAGCTCAGCCACAACACCCCTTCCCCTTTTGCCTTCTGGAAACAACTCTATGCAACCCCAGATAAGAGCAAGTACTCACAATTCCAGCTCTCTCAAACACAGAAGACATTTAGATCTATCAGTCCCAGAAACGCAGGCAGAAAAGAATGTGGAGACAGGAAATAAGCATGCTGTTCAGGCTTTGCCAAATGCATACTGTATAACTGAGCATGCTCGCACCTTGTCTTTTTGCTCACACACGAGGAGGCAAGTGCCAACAGCAGCTCAACAGCCCCGCCAGGACTGCTGCCTCCTCCAGCCCCCACCCCACCCCCAATGTCAGAATGGAGGAAAGTAGAGGCCTTCCTGTAAGGAGCACAGCCATTGGGAGATGCCTCTCTGGGTCCCAGGTCTGAGAGACAATGAAACTCATGGAAGTTTGAGGCTGCCTCTCTGTTTGGGCTGGCCAGCCCTTCAGTTAGGGGAAGGGCTGTAGCTTAGTGGTAGGGTATCTGGTTTGCATGCAAAAGGTGAAATCTCTGGCATCTCCAGGTAGGGCTGGTGACATCCTGAGCTAGATGGATCAATGGTCTGACTCTGAATGAAGCCTCTTCCTAAGTTCCCTCTTGTATGCATACCCTGCAAGTGTCCCATTTTAAGCGGGACATCCTGGATCGCAGAAGCCAATCCCAGCTTCTGTTCGGACCCCAGAATGTCCCGTTTTTCAGTCTAGTGTTCTGCTGCAACCCTGCTGACAATCACTAGAGTGCCAGACTGGAATGCACGCCCCTCCTGACATCCCAATTTTAGGGACGAAAATGTTGGAAGGTATATTGTACCTTCTCCTAGATGAGCTACCTTCCCAGGTGAATGAGCCCCATAGTGCTAATTCCGCATCTCTTTCTTCCAGTGTGAGATGGAGTCACCAGTTTCTCTTAGGTCAGGGCCAGGGAACACTTTCCAGCTAAAGGGCCACATTCCCTTGTGGGTAACCTTCTGAGGGCCACATACCATTCGTGGGCACAGTTAGAAGCAAAAGTGGGCTGAACAATGCAAATTTTACCTTTGTACAGCAGATTAGTTTCAACAAACCCTCCCACAGCTCCCTCTAGCCTCCATCCAGACAAGCAGGAAGCATGATCAGCATTCTGGGGCACCTTCCAGCCAGGCAAGGCAGAGCCAGAGAGGGGTGTGGTCTGGCAAAAGATCTGAAGGCCATATGGAGCGGCCTGGAGGGCCTAGTTGAACATGCAACTCATCCACTTGCTCCCAACGAGCTAACCTCCATGCTGCACCTGCTTCCTGCCCAGAACACATCCTTTTCTTCCCAATATTACTCAAGACCTACCTGCATATATCTGCCATCTTCTTCAGGCTTCATCTTCGCCCCCGGCATATCCAGATCCTGGTGTCTCTCTCTGCCCTCAACAGCCAACAAAGACATGATTTGTTCGTTCAGTAAGGATAATCATCCCTCCTCACTCTCTCACGAACTGGGCAGCCACCTGCAGTCCTCGTAATGGATTTCACTTTGGGGTCCGCTCTCTTCTTCCCCGTCGCCTGCTGTTCCAGGATGCAAGGCTCTCTCCTCCTGGAGGGGTGGGTTCCCCCTTGCCCCCAGTCACTTCATGAATCCACAGACACCCATTTCTTCTTGCTTCTCCTTGGCACGTGGCAAATTTCCCCTAGCTTGTATTGGCACCCCAAGTACGGTGGGGGTTTTTTGGAAACTTGGATTCCCTTCTCTCTCCGTGCATTTTTTTTTTTTAAAGGAGAACTCGGTTTAAAACCCCAAGGATGTATCAGGAGGAAGCATCTCCTGGAAACAGAAGCACTCCATCTGTCTGTTGGCAGATGGAGGAGTTGCCAAATAGCAACACGTGGGAGGGTCAACGCAGAGAGGGAGAGGGAGTTTGAAGGGACGTTTCGGCAACCAAACAGGAAATCTTGGCTCCCTGGCAAACTGTCATGGATACAACAGATTGAGAACGATTGGGGTGTTAAAACTATGCAGAGAGGTAACCAATGTGAAATTTACATACAGCTTGATCCAGCTCAACTCATTTAAGTACTGAATTTGTGATATGACAGCAGCAGAAGCCAAATCTACTTGATACTTAGAGCCCATCCAGATGTCTTATTGTGCATTTTGCGTTCATGAAAGCATCGGGGCAGGTATCTGCAATCCCACACTTTCGATAATCTTTGCACCTGCAAAAGTTTTAGGGTAGGCATGCTGCTTTGTTTGCCAATCAGTGTGTGCCCTGTAACTTCCTGCTGTAACTTTTTACATCACAACTGTTTGTAAAAATTTATTTCGTAAAATTCACACATCACTTGATTGTAAAAGGCCTCAAAGTGATGTACAAAAAGAATACACCAATAAAACTGTTGGTAAAAAACAAAACAACTATTTAAAACATTGAAAAAATTAAAACCAGCAATAAATTAAAAGCACACCAGCATTCTAGATATCTGGGTAAATTTGTCCGAACAAAAATGTTTTTAGCAGGAGCCAAAAAGAGTATAGTGAGGGCGCCTGCCTGGTATCCATAGGTGGGGAGTTCCAAAGTATAGGTCCTGCAACATTAAAAGACTGATAACAAATATGGACCACAGACTGAAGTGTTTGGATTGAGTGAACATATAAACAGTAAGGCGATCTAGCAGGTAAACTGGTCCCAAGTTGTTAGGGCTTTATATACTAATAGTAACACCTTGAACCTGGCCCAGCAGCAAATTGGCAGCCAGTGCAGATTTCTGAGCAGATATGTCATGTGCTGACAAGGGACCATGAGGATCATCTAGTCCAATCCCCTACGATGCAGGAATCGTTTTGCCCAATGTGGGGCTCGAACCCACAATCCTGAGATTAAGAGTCTCTTGCTCTGTTGACTGAGCTATCCCACAGACATTCTACACCAACTCCAGCTTCCGGATCTGGTGCAAGGGAAGCCCCACATAGAGCATATAAACTATTCCAGTTTGTTTTGTCCGACACTGTAGTGAAAAAGTGCCCCCTCCAGATGGCAATAATGCAGCAACACTAGGGAAGCATTGCAGAACAACTAATAAAGCACAATGGTGTGTTGGCTATCCAGAACGATGTGTGGATGGTCCACCACGAATTCATTATTGCTACATCATCAGCGGCACGTTGCAGAATATACCGTTTGCTTGTTTATAAGAAGAAACCAGTCTGGAGGGACCTGTAGTAACCTCTGACCTGGAAACTCTTCCTCTTCCAAACCAAGACTGCAGTTGTTACTCACTGTATCACACTAATGAACAGGTTCTGGGTATGACTTATACCCTTGGGGTTGGTCTGGAGACAGTAGCTGATGCAGAACACAGCAGCTACATTGCTTATGGGGACAAACAGTCATGACTTCCCCCAAAGAATTCTGGGAACTCTCAGCACTCTAAACAAATGACAACTCCCACAATCCTTTGGGGGGGGAGCCATGACCTTTTAAAGTGATATCACAGCACTTTAAATGTTTGGTGTGACTGTGGCCTTAGTCACAAGGGACGCAGGGCTGGTCTCAGGCCTTCTGCCCCACCCTTGCGTTCGACCTCTCCTCAGCACCTTTCATCTTTGCCTTTGTTTGCCAAGCAGAAAAGGAACACCTTTTCTCATGGGTCTTCACAAACTTTGATTTTTCAAAACTATTTGTATGTGTGTATACACACCAGGTTTTGTTTTAAATAAGCTGTTAGTTGACACTATTGCTTAACACGGAGAAGGGTAGGATTTTCCACTAGTTCCCGCTCTTTCTTGTGGACTAGAAGAGTGCTTTCAAAGGAGCCGGTGCAGCACCTCTGGGGGCCGGATTGCAGAAGGGTGACATCTAGAGGAAAAAATACTGAGCTGCACAGAGCTGAATTTTCCCAACTCCCACTTTATATTGAATGGAGGTAGCAAACCACCAGGTCTGGTTCCAGGTTTACGGGAGCTGTGGGCAAAGTGCCATCTAGTGGGGCCCTCCCTCCTCTTTCAGTGGGCTCTGGAGGGCATAGGTGGTTGTGGCAGCCGTGCTCCAAGCGACGGCTGAGTCTGTTGCCACCCTTCCTCAGAGGGGATCAGTGAACCTGCCAGGTTCAGTTTCTCTCAGCGTCTCATTTTTCTAGCCTTCAGTTCAGCCTCCACATTTCTGCAGCAATTTGGGGTTTGCTTGCTTGTTCTAAATCCTCGTGAAAATTCACCAGTATTTTATGGCAAATTTCTCCCAATAAGCACATTTTTCATGCAGTTTTGACTGGTAATACACATCTTTGCAAGCCATTTCCCCTATCAGGAGGCACTTTAGTATGCGATTTTCACCAGTGTTGTGCATACATTTCCTTAATATATTATTACACGCCACCTAAGCAGTAAGAGGCTCCAAGCTCTTTGCCCAGGGTTTGGTTTCCTTGGAATGAAGTTCAGCATAGTCTGTGGTGTCTTTAGGATAGATGGTTTTATCTACACAGCCTGAGCATAGGATGGAGTGGGGATCCAAAGAGTTTAACATCATCTAGAGGACTACCACTCCGATGAACCCCAGGCAGCTTGGTCAGTGGTTTCGGATGGTGTGCCTTGTACTTCAGAAACATCTGGAAGGTTCACCATCACTGTTTTAGCTCTTCCTTGCCAGTTGTCATTCCCTCAATTCCTGATGTTCAGACTAAAGCACTTATACTTAAGCGGCCAAACCAACACCAGGAGGGCCTGTGCGTCTCATTTTGCCATCTGAGGCAAAATGGGGAGTGCCGCCCCAACCTGCCCTGTTGCTGGGAAGATCTTTCCACCTCAGGTGGCTGCTTCATTTTGCCTCATGGTTGGGCTGGGCCTTAACACCACCCAAGCACTCATATATTATTATTATTATTATTATTATTATTATTATTATTATTACATTTATATACCACTTTTTCTTCCAGGGAGCTCAAGGTGGTGTACATGGTTCTCCACCTCCCCATTTCATCCTCACAACAACCCTGTGAGATAGATTAGGCTAAGAGATGGCGACTGGCCCACAGTCACCCAGTGAGCTTCATGGCTGAGAGGGGATTTTAACCTTGGTCTCCCAGGACACAGTCTAACACACTAACCATTACACCACATTGTTTCAGCAGCTCTTTCTGCCCAACACTGGGGGTTTTGAGCTGGAGCTGCTGGAACCATATTCCAGCCTCAGCTGACTCCTATCAACTCCTTTTCCTCCAAAGGTCTCCTTGAGAGGAGGGTCTCACTTCCCAGGACCCATTAAAACCCAAATAGTCCTTGCTTGTGGTCAGGTGCGTCTCTGGGTTTCCATCTGCCTTTCCCTTGGGCTTGGGACCTGTTTGGCCTCAATGTCACTCTGGGTGCAGATCACCCCTCCTTGGCATCACTGCAGGATCCTGACTCCTCACCCCCCATATGAAGCCTGATCCAGGGCTTGGTGTAAGGCTGGGGTCTCCAGGTCCTCCTCTGATGAAGAATGCCCTGGCTATGACATGACATTGATGGACCATTGGTCTAATGCAGAATTACAGGTGTAAGAAGGCATCTGTTTTCTTTCCAATTTATGTTTGCTGCACGCAGTGCTGTTTCCATTCTGCTGCATGCAGTGCTGTTAACAACAACAACAACAACAACAACAACAACAACAAAGCTTATTTATCTTGTGGCATAATTTTATGAAATTAATCACATTACCATTATGTTATTCTACCCCATTCTGACCAATGGAAAGAAAACAAAATGGCAGTGGACAGGGAGGAAACATAATCAAACATGTATTGTTTGTGGGCTGAAAACAGCAACAATAGACAATACTGATCGTATTCCTGGGTTAGTTTCCATTCTGGACATGGGATGAATACATGAACACCATCTGTCTCCACATGATTTCTAACGCATGCACATTCTCTACCCTCCATTGAGACATGCAAGAAGCATGATCAGAGTACATGGACATATTCCAGCCACGCAAAAACACTTGGCGTGCCCAATGGAACTAGTGAGGGGATTGGCCTGGAGAGAGACCCAAGAGCCAGAGAGAGAGGCCTAGAAGGCAGCATCCAGCCCTTTACTTGAGGTTCCTTGCTCTTGTTCTTGTACCATACTACCCTCCTGCTGATTTTATTTTCTGCTTCTTGAATTCAGCACATTAATAAAGCAAATAACAAGTTGGCCGCATTCTGTCCCCTTCCTATGTCCTTTTAATGATGTGTTTTAAACCACGACCCAGTTTTACCTCAGAAGCTGCCTCAGCATTGGTCCAACTTCCGAGATGGATCTTGCTTGTTATCAGGCCATCCGCCACATCCTAATTGGAGGTGCCTGTGTGTGTTTTTGTTTAATCCTCTTTTCTTTCAGCAGCACAGTAAAAAGTATCTTAAATACGGTTTCCAAACCACAGGTGGCCACTTCCCTGCATTCCCTTTCATAAATCACAGCGATTCGTCTCTTTTTCGTATTGCCATTCCCCACTTACTGTGCTCTTAACTGTTCTCTCAGTGGAGACAAGTTCAAACAATTCATGACTCACACTGAAAATCCGGCACTCGTTTGATAATATAAATATGTGGAGCATCAACCACAGGCAGATCACTGCCTCATGGCAAATATCCCAAATGTAACCCATCTTGTGCACAGATAAAAGCAGGCTTCTTCAACCTCAGCCCTCCAGATGTTTTGAGACTACAATTCCCAGCATCCCTGACCACTGGTCCTGCTAGCTAGGGATCATGGGAGTTGTAGGATAAAAACATCTGGAGGGCCGAGGTTGAGGAAGCCTGGATAAAAGGATTGATCTTCAGTGATTCAGCAATGTCTTGTAGGAATAATAATAATAATAAATACTCTGCCCATCTGTCTGGGTTTCCCCAGCCACTCTGGGCAGCTCTCAACAGAACATTAAAAACGCGATAAAAGATCAAACATTAAAAACTTCCCTAAACAGGGCTGCTAACTTCCCTAAACAGGGCTGCTAACTTCCCTAAACAGGGCTGCTTATAAGCTTCATGTGAGTGCCCAAACCTTTCCCCTTGGACTGAATCAGAAATATGTCACAAGTTCCACAAAGAAACCAAATCATCTTAGGACAGTAAGACACTGAAGCAGCTTCTGAGGTAAAACCGAGTCACAGTTTCAAAGCCATCATGAAAGGCCCAGGGGACAAATGCAACCCTCAAGGCCTTTCTCTTCTCAGGACACACAGCTACACAACCGCTCTCCAGCCAGACCTCTTACTGACCCCGCTTTTCACTCTCCTTCCGTATTTTGGCCTGGCTGGAATATGTCCCTCAACTCTGATAATGGACTGAAGGTTTAAATAACCGTATTTTCTTTTTTATGTAACCGGCAGATGGAAAATTGGAAGTTATTCTTTTGTAACTTTGGTTTCTCTTTCTCTTTCTCCTTCCTTCATTTCTAGAAATGAAACGCCAATAAAATAAGTATTGTTTTCAATTCTTTTAAACTGGTGTATATCAAGCCTGTGTTCTAACCTTGCCTCCCCACTCCGCACCCCGACTCTGTGCTACAAATTAAAATAATATATTGGTTTTATTTGTGGCACTGTTGTTGTTGTCGTCAGTGTTTTAACGTTGCAGATCGGCATGGGCTTTCTGCCTTACTCCTTGCAGATGGATGCAAGAATGTCTTTGAGTGATTAATATGTGAGATTGGCTCCTTGACAAGAGCCATGAATTACAAGACCATCTGTCAGGCAGCGAGAGTCATCTCCAAGGAACGCCCCAGGATATTTGACGTGTTCGGCACCAGCCTAGCAAAATGTCTCTGAATCCTATAAACCCTGTTAACCCTAGTAATGGGCGCAGTAGGTGTTCCAGATGTTGTTAAACACAAATTATTGGATGGATTATAGTGTGTGTGTGTGTGTGTGTGTGTGTGTGTGTATTTCCAGAACTGGAATGAAATC